CTGGTGCTCTGTCCCTCAACCCCCCCTGGTGTCAGTCACACTTTAACTCAAATAAAATCAGTCTGAAAATGTTTAAACTGCAGGTTGGAGTTCTGTCATGCCAAAATGATTTCTTACAGGATATCTGAGCCGCAAAGTGAGCTGTGAGAACGTGCAGTCGGTGCAGAGTGGCCTTTTGAGGAAATAGAGACACACGAGGGCGGCAAACGTCTCCCCCAGCCAAAAGCCTCCTCTGGCCAAAGCTCAACCAAAGGGACAGGCGAGGAGGAAAAAGGGAACCATTGACACACTGGTATTCTTCAGCCAAAGTGGAGGCCCAGCGCAAAATGTGTTCAGTAGAGAAGGGGGGGTTGAGGGACAGAGCAGGCAACCAGATACAAAGAGGCCCTGTGTCAATGCAGTGGCTCTGTGACTGAAGATAATCAACACTAAAATAATATGTAACTCGAGTGGTCCCCAGCATACAAGGTCAGCACCGCTGGCTCGACCGACCAGGCTGTCGGGGATTCTGACACATTCTGGGTTGATGTGCAAGTGCTCGGGGGTTTCAGCTGTATGGAAGGGGTTGGCCGAGCTCCACCGCCACACAAAGAGCCTCTCTGCCAGTCTGGACTGTAGGAGGGGAGTTCACTGCTCTCTCAGCTCAAGCCTCTACATTTCCTCTATTCCTCCAGTCCCAGCATTTCGTCTGTTTACCTCTGCTGTACTTCTGTGTTATGTTAGTACACCGATATACCATTAGGAATAACCCGACTTATTAAAACTCCATGTTATAAGACCTGTCAATTCATGAGCGGCAATTACAGGAGCATGGGTCATACTCAATGTAATTGCATTGATCTCACCTTCCCCCATTGGGTCCTGGTGGAGAGCAGAATGGGACCCCTCTGGCATGGCACTCAGGCCTCTGGAGCTGACAAAACAAACCATGAAGGGTCAAACAGGATTCAGGCACTTCATGCCCGGGCTTACAGTACATATCACGTGGCAATGTTTTTCTTTCTTGGTGGGTTCTTATTGAAGAACGCCTAATGTTTCTTTACTTTATGTTAGTCTTCCTGAGTTTTCAGTTCTTTTGTCAAGTGAGCCCTGCTCTGCATTGGCTCAATACAGTGGAAAACTTTTATAGTGATCACGTCTGTCTGGGTCAAACTGAACACTATAAGAAGATGATTATTATAAACATTTTTGTGTTTTTCTTCAGGTCTCGTGCAGATTATAATCTAAGTGACTTTCTTATATTTATAGTTTGAATTGTATCGATTGTTTTAAAATACAGTAGAGCTGTTTCAAACGCTTTCGCAAATTACTGCACAGATTAACACCATAGTACAATGAGTACTGTACTGTATATAAAATATAGTTTACTGAAGTTAAAATTATAATGAGGCTATAGCCTGAAACAGTATTTTGCCTGTTTTTTCCCATCAATAGTGCAAATTGGCTACTACGCCTGAGTACACTGAACATTGTAAGCGGACTAATTGGTTACCATAAGCGGTCGATCATTGTAACCGTGATCGCCATAATCGCTTTCCACAAAGCTGGGGCTGAAGTATGTATGCAAAGTGGAGGCAACAGCGACATGAGCTCATACTAATCCGTAGAGAAAGGGCCGGAGGGTTAGACAACAGTCTAACTTAACATGGTAAAGATTTGACATTTAAGAACCTGCCTATTGAGCTATATACACATCAATGATGCATCTTTAATTGATGTGTTTCTCAAAAACAGCATTACAAATTGATTTATGAAAAGCCACTACAATAAATATGAATGTCCGCTGCATAAAATTACTGACAAATGAAACAGAGGAGCCCAACAAAAACAAGTACATTTCATAAAAACTTGCTTTTATACATTTGTTTTCATAAGTGTTACAAATAAATCCATGTCGCATCAAAACAAGTCTCTCGTCATCGATGCGACGGTCCGGTGAGAGTACAGGTTCACCCCGGGTGGCAAGTATTTTTTAATCCCTCATGCCAGGCTGCGGTGCCGTTAATGATGCGGCATGTCCCCTCAGAGTCACTGTGCTGCCAGTTTCTCACATCACTGCCTCTCTGGCTCCTTACAACAAATTAACATGAAAGACTGCGCATGAGAACTTCTCTCCCTGTGATTCCTAGTGAGCCCCCGGCCTTTTAAACATTACATTCTCCAGCCAGCTAGATCAGAGGAGCAGGAATTCTTCAGGGATTAGGATGGGCATTGTTCATAGCACGCTTGCTGGCCACTGTGCCGAGCTGACAGCCGGGCAAGCCGAGGCCGAGCTAAGACCACTGCCAGGAGGTTCGCCAATTAAGATGTGCAGGAATGCAAGGAGGAAAGTCACAAAGCTGGATCCACACATTAAGATCACTGCTTCACTGTAGGGTCCCTGCAGCTCTAGCCTGGACTCAAGTACAGCTTGTTTACTGGACAAGAAAGTCAGCAGCCATAGAAATATTATTATTATTTTGTTCGTCGCAAAGAAAATCTTATCCACAAAATGAATGCAGGTTCTTCTTTGGACTCATAAGTCATCATTCATTTCTATAGTTTCATGATATTTACAGTTGGTGAAAGAATTACCCTAACTACCCGACATTTTGATCTGTTTTGCCTTCAACGTGGATCTGACTGACATCTATATTTGAGAGCAAACAAATGGTGTAAGATGCACAGATTTATGCTCAGTCAATGCAGCACTGCTACAACAACATTCCAGTAGAATGAAGCCTCCTCAAACAGCCGTTGACCAATTGATTTTCAAGTGGTGAGCTAGTTTGTGAAGCCTGCAGGAGTAGTGTTCATGTCGAGGGTCAGGCTCTGAACTTGTTTCAGTGAACAGCGAACTAAAAAAAAAATCCTCTGTTAATCCCAACTACTATGAGTTTATGAGCTAACCCCACTCTATGACCAGACCAAAACGAATCTGTCTCTGGTCAATGAGAGGCAAGCCTATAATGGGCTCAAAACCTAGACGGGTGGAGAGAGTGAAAATGTCTAGCAGTGTAACCCACAATATTAACACATCTGGACAGAATTCAACAATCGTAACTCATTACCTTTCACCTCCTGTTTGCTGACATATGGCAATTCCAAATCCTTGTTTTTCTAGGGAGGGGGTACAGCCAGATTTCAAATCCTAAAGCAAACACTACCTACAGGCTAACATTCATGCCAAGCTGACCACCTGTCCTTGAAATAGCAGCCATTTCACTCAAATGGAGAGCATTTGGCTCCCACAGCTGACGACTGCGTTACCCGCGGCATGAACTGGCCGCATGGGAATCTGCAATTCTCCCCTTAATTGAAGACAGATGCTAAGAGCCAATCTGATGGTTATTAAAAGCAAGACCTGCAATGGATCACTTCTTCAGATGGGCTGATAAACATCCTTGTTCCTCTAATCGCCAGGCTTTGACACTGATCCAGGCAGTCAAAGCCTGAATTCCTTTCTTTAAAACACAGCAAAGTGATAATTAAGTTGCTGGTCAAGATACAGCACTCATACCAAAAAAAAAAAAAGGAGAACGTTTATACCGAGTCATCTCCACAAATGTGTTAAAATCCTCACGCTGGGATAATACACACAGAGAAACATACCTTGAACCAAGACCTTAGGCCTAACATGTTAAAGGAGAAGAGTCCTTGGGGGGGATGATGACTATCTGGAGTATTTTTCACCATTGGCAGCCTGTCATGGTTACGAGAGAAGTGAAACCACTGAAGCAAAGACGAAACCAGACTTATGCTCTGAGGGAGACATGCCACTTTCTCTGTCTCTTCAGGAAGGATTATAGGGGGCACAGACAAGTCAGTGAGGATTGTGACATATTTAACCAAATAAAAGCTTTATTGAAGGCAAATATATGGACTGCATTTACATTTAAATCTTAAAAAAACCAACCTCCCATCCACCAGCTGCCCTATTGTCAACTGTTGATGCTCACAACTGATAGCAGGCCGTTTTGATCCAGCGTCTGAATCCAAAAAAAAAAGGAAATTAATCAGCCGTCTGTGCAACAGTTAACAGCTCAGATTGATGTCTCCTCATGCGGAGCAAGTTAATGGGAGGAGAAGCTAAAAATAGTCCAGAGTATTCTGGCTGCGCTTCGCTCTCACAGTCGGAGACCTACCGGATCACGTTGCATTCACCGTCTGCCCCGACTAGGCCCACGGGAATCTGGAAGTATGACATAAGCCCCCTGGGGTGTCATCAGTCAGACATAGTGGTGCGGGTTTCTTCAAGACGCCATCACTCAGGACGGATGTTTACGCTCAGAACAAATAAGACTCAACCTGGCACGGCAGGCAGACGTTTCAAGGTCCTACAGGCTGATTGAAATAGACTTTTTCATTATTTCAGCTCTGGTGCTATGCAAGACCTCTCTCTCTCTCTCTCACCCCGGCAGAAAATATCCCCTGACAAACAGCCTTTCTGTTGTTGCCCTCTTTCCCACATTACTCCTGCAGTTTGTCCCCCTGACACACAGGCCTCAAGAGACCAACAGCTTTTCATTCACTGGGGGACAACAATAAACCCTTACGGTCTCTCTTCACCTCAATCAAATCCACAGCTTCCACAAAAGAGCTGTCCTAACGCGTGACTTCCCCCAGACACACAACATATGAGCCTCTCATTTTAGTGCGCTGCGTTTTTGAGCATGCTGCTGAGATGTGGCGATAAGCGATACATCCAAATGAACACCCAGAGGGCAGTTTTGCCCATATGGTGCACGTAGAAACCGGCCAAAATAGCCCTTAATGGAGGAATAATCATTCCCCGCTGTGCTGAAAAAGGAGAAAAAGCCATTTTCACCTTCCAGTCAATGACGTATAAACACACAGAATGCATACCTGGCAAATAAGGTTGGAAAGTGCCATCTTAAGTGACAAATGACAAGTGAAGACTTCCAGCTCTTCGCAATTATAAATGGTAGACAACCAGAGGGTACGTAGTCCTCCATAATGTCCTGCAGTGTTTGGAGGGGAGAGTAGAGGGCTGCTGGGTAAAATAAGACAGCAAGTCTTCAAATAGAATTGGAGTGTATACCCATTTAAAGGTGCATGACACCACATCTGCAAGCAAACGGCTCCCTTGTGCCTTTGTGGGGGCTTGTCAAGATGGTAATAACAAAAACATAGTGTCTGGCCTTCCTTGAGCGTCTGGAATGTTAAATCAATTATGGCACAAACTCATCACTTTCAAACAAACACAAAGTTGTTATTTAACTCTCACAACATAATCCTAGCTGTAACTAGCTGGAACTGTATGGTCCCATGAGATGTAAATCTAACTTCTCAATAAGCTCTCAACCACAAAATGACAAAGGAGGTGACTAATGAAAAGCTCAAGAGCAGGTTTTTAAAAAGTCATAAGATCTCCATCGATGAAACCAGGTCTGCATTCACACAGCTTCAGCATACCAAGACTCGGAAAGAAGGAAGAAAGTGCCAGCTCTGAGATCCAAGACACACTTAGGCAGTTTCCTGTCTGGACCACCTGGAAGAGAGCGCCGTTCATCGCATTGAGGCAACATTTATCTCAAATTATGTTGAGACGTTATTGTCTAAAAGGTCAAGTGAGGTCAAAGGAGTGGAAGATGGAACTTTTCACTGGTAACTGATTGATTCTGTCCCATTCTTCTCCAACAGCTGGTGGGGGAAGTCATTGACCTATGAACAGCCTGCATTTGAAACCTCACTGTGTCTCACTGGGGTGCTCATTAGAAAAAAAACAATTAGGATTGCATGGGGCACCATAGGAGGAGGGCATAGGAGGAGGGCAATGGGATGCAGAGAAAGAGGAAATGACAAATGATTCAACGGCAGCATGGAGGTTATTCAGTCTCGCAAGTTAAATCTGACATCGATGCTTCAGTGGAAAAAAATCTTTAAAAAAAACAGAGTCACCAGCAGCTGATCAAAGTTCACTCAACAGAGAGTGTTCTGTTTCAAAGACAAACACTACTTATCTGACTGAAACTCCTGCCCACTTCAGGGCTCGCAGTATATCTTGCAGGTTGTGAAATGTACCTAAAATCGGTATGCAACACCTCCAGGTAATGCAACGTCCAAAGGCAGAGGAGTTCATCATCAGGAATGTGTTGAAGTGTTGTATTTATGTTGAACTCAAAACGGTCTCTTGGCTGAACTCATAAGCCCGATTACACACACACACAGATGTTTTGTAGTTGACACTCTCTGTGTGGCTGTTTTATTGGTTCGTTCCGCTGAAATGGAGCAATGTTATTGCTGGTATAAGTTGGTCAACTCAAACCCTTGTTCCTTTTTCTTACGGCAGATCAACACGCGCCTGACAAGGCGAACAAAATGCCCAGTGTTTCTAAACAGCCCTTAAAAACAAACTATCAATATCAACATGATAAACACAGAAGATGCATTCTTGTCACGTGTAGCTTAACTGGCGTCACAGCTACAGTTGAGTTTGCTAACATTTGGTAAAGTTGTCCAAAGCAGTTCACGTACCGAATTCGCCAACTTCTTTCCTCCCGACGACTTTTGTCCCCGGTAAAAACTTTTCTGTGCACTTCCTTGGTGTAAATCTTGAAGTTGCTCTGATAGTTGTTGTTTTCTCACATGTTAAAATCCGCTCAGACACACACGTCCCAGCGCAGGTCATCAGCTTGTACTGCGTCCAACTCCCAAACACTGCTGCATCTCTGCACAACTGCGAAAAACGGATGCTGCGTTCAGGACCCGTCGGAAATATTGCAATTAGTCCGCTACACCGCAACACCAATGAGAATATCCTCTGGTTCTCGCTCATGTCAGCTGCAGGTGATAACAAAATGCATGTTATTGCCCCATGTGAGCCTCCAAGTGAATTAAAAATATTGGTCACATTAAAACTGCTGTTGCTATAGGATGCATTTTGTTGTTTGGTTCACAGTTGTCACTTCCCAACAAAATAAACAAAAGTGCACAGAATTAACACTTCTAAAACACTTTGTATATACCATATAGTCGTATATATGTAGTTGTTTATTTTTGAGAAGGCTTGTTTTAAGATGAGCAAGAAAACTATCAATGAAAGGCCACCTGTCTTAAGAGTCTGTAATTTACGAGGAGTTCTTGAATGTAACAAAGGCCCGCCTGTTTTTGACAGGCCAGTGTCTGTTTGGTTAGTGTCAGAGGTATTCCCACACATCTTAACATCTGGCCTGCATAGTTTGGTCATTTCGTTCGGTATTAGACAGTTTCAAAATGACTTAAACAACCAGATTGTTTTCTCTTTAAGGTTTCTTTACTTCCACTCGTGGACGAATATGTTTCCAATCCAATGACAGGCGTGTGAAAGGACATAACCAATTGTAACTCCGCCAATTACATTTATGACGGTCAGGTCAGTCGACTGGGGGTCTCACAAAGGATGCTTCAGTGAATCAATTGGGTGGTTGCTAATTTATGTGTGGATGATTAAATAGAGAGGGGCGCGTTTGCTTTGCACAACCCCCTCTCTGACCCCATAAAGGCTGTGAAGAAAGCAATATGCTGGACGACTTCACTGAAAGAGTCAACACAATGTGAAAATGCAGCTCCTATTGTCACAGATAGGCTACAGTCTTATAAAATGAACTCGCTCCAGTAGGCCTACAATGTGCAGCTTTATTCCCTCAAAGCTGCGCTATCCCAATGATTCTAATTCAGAAAATGATTTCAAAATCAAAGAAATAATTTGTGTAGCCCATATTAAACTGATGTATCTGCACAGTGCTGCCGAGTTGAATATATAATAAACCAATGTCGCCACCTGCTGGTAATAAAGAGCAATGTCTCTGCCCAGTGTGTAGGTATCACTGGATTATACATCTAGAAAGAATGGCATTTGGAAAATGTCTGCAACTGTATTTTCAAAACTTTAAGGATTTTACAGTGCATGATAATTTGTTATTCAGAGATGCACTCTATTACAGGTATAGGCGTAATATGTTGTATATTGGAGAACGTCATAATACAAGATCACAGCGATTATAGTCACTAAATGGCTCTTAGACGCCATTGTTGTGTCCTCAGAGGCTGCAGTTTATTAAGTTAATTATGGCAACAGACTAGGTTTTTGCTGGAGAGAATTATTATTCTAGGTACAAAATTTTCAATAATATTAATGTATATAATAAAATATTCTGTAAAAGCTTAACCTGAAATTAAAAATACAACCGGCGTATTATCTGGCCTATGAGGAGATTGGACAGTACCTGTGTTACAGAAAGAAATGGAGGTTGGTTAAAAAGTCAGAAAAAACCCCACTCCCAAGTATATTTTGATTTCATATATTTATTTAGTATAAACAATATGATACTGCTAAAGTTACAGAAACCTATATAATGTCATGTACAAACACACAGCAAGGAGTATTTCTAAAGGTATTAATGAGTATTATTTAATGAAGGCATTGTGCTCGTTCTGAAAAATCAGTGACAAAATAACTTTCTCAAGTAAAATATTACTTTCTCAAAATTCTAAGATTATGTACAACATTACGCGTGTATGTGTAATCCAACGTAACAATGGTTTATAAACAGGATAAAAATACATTTGACAGAGTGAAGAAGCTGGCAGGGCAGGATTTTAGGAAGTTGAAGGGTTCTCCTTATACCATTACATATCCACAAACATCCCCACAGCTCTTTAAAGGGACGCATGGGAAGCTAGACTCTTACTTTTAAGTAACGGACCAATGTGAACCGAGTGACAACTCGGGATCTAACTTTTGAAATGACTTTATTTCATAAAGAGCTGTTCACTAAGAACAATCAGATGCAGATAAAACAAAAGTAGAAAATATTTAGGATTTTAACCTGATCCAATGACATCCAGTGACAATCTACATTCAAACTAATGACAATCCTTCAATTCTAACTGTTATCCAACCATTCATTTTAACAGGCCACTGCATTAAAAACAAGCTAAAAGTCAAAATATAACCCGTCACATTTCATCATCACTGAAGACGTTCTGCCTTCTATGTACATCACCCTTACGAAATAAAAACACATCCCCTTCAGCATTCAAACTCAGTCAGTGGACATTGTTTGTTCAGTGTACAACAACTGTCTCTAACAACCAGTGTAACTCACAACCAAAATGGTGGTCAAAGGTGAGGACTGGAGAATCATATGGGCTTGGTGGTGCTGTTGTAGACTAGGCGCTCTCTGTCCTCCAAGCTGACCGGCACAGTGTTGACGGGCACACGCTGGTGCTGTGAAGACTTCTTCTTTCCCTTCATGAGGCAGTACACCAGGAGGCATAGTAAAACGAAGATAGCGACACCCAAGAGGACAGCTATAGCTACAATACCTGTTAAATAAATTAAAACACATTTTAAAAAGGCAATTGAGAACACTACGTGAAAGGCTGCGTCACAAAAGAAAATGGTGCTCTCAGCAACTCGGTGAACTGGAAAAGTGCTCTGGAGCTTTGACAATACCGCTGAATAGCAAGAAAAAGGAAGTCAAAGCTGATGGAGTGGCATAGTTTTTATAGGGAGGTATTATTTAAACTTCTTTTTTAGTCTAGAATGAAACAATAAAAGGAGAACATACCTGTATGGCCTTCGGTCACTCTTTTATCAGCTCTTGCAAACATGTCCTTTTCTGAAATAAAGATAAAGATAGGATATGGTTTTAGACTTCTTATGTTGTATGTGACAAACAAAACCTGAAAAAAGTTTCTTAATTAAACAGAAATCTGGACTCTTGCAATGAGGGGAAATAATACATGTAATAATATTTATGGCCACTTGAAGGCAGCGGAAACAGGCCATGAACACTGCCTTACTTTTAAAGAGTACTCCAGTGTTTTCGCATTATACTCTAAAACATTGTAGAACTCACAATGGACAGTAAAAATAACAATAAAAGATGAATTATGAAAATTGAGGCAGCTAGTAATTTATTCCTTTTTTAAAAGTATTTTATTGTTCTTCCTTGGCAAAACCTGGCACCTACTTTAACCACAATGCAAAGTGACCGCAGAGAGTTCGTTGAGGTGTGTTTTCTGGCTCTTTAGCAGCTAAACGCTCCCAGCTGCCTACTGGGACTGAACATGATGCCAATGAGAGCGGTGAGATTAAATCAAACAGTAAAATCCGGTTTCCTATTACGTGTAGTCATTTTTCCCCCCATTTATTGAAATTTAAGCAGTGTGCAAAATACAAGGGGGCTTGGACCCCCCGAGAACTCTTGATTGAGACTTGAGACCCCCTGAAAGCCTAAACAGCTAAGTTATACGGGGGTCTCTAAAATCGTTTTTTTAATTATTTGTCACTAAAATGTCATTTAAAAGCTTAGTCTACTATGTCCAGCAGTATTCATTATTCAAATTGAAAACATTTATTCACAAATAATAATAGTAAGTGCAAGAAAACGTGCGAGTAACTATCACATTTTAAAATGTTGTAGTAGTTTCATTTCAGTTTTGGACATTAACAGAAGTAGCAGAACTTTCTGACAAATGAAAAATTCAAAGTTCTCATTTATATTTGTTCCCAACAATCTGAGGCTGAGGCAGTGGAAGGTGCTGGAAACCAGTGAGACAGCAGTAAAAGAGATTGGCTAGTGACTGTGTGAAAGATATTAGGGATGTGCAGTATTCTGTGATTTTGTACAATGTATATCTTAGTTGTACAAAAAGGATGTTATTCTACCAGTACGCAAATATCTGTAAAAATCTTAATGTTAGTAACAACCCACCTGTTACCCCATAGCAATATTTAACACAGGAGTCCTTAGAGTCAAATCTGTTGTCATTTCCGTGGCAGCCACCGTAGTTGAAGCGGAAGCAGCTCTTTTGGAGGGCGTCGTAGTACCACCTGGTGAGACTGTCCCGGCAGTTTCCGGTGTCAGGAAGCTCTGTGCAATGCACTGTGAACAACAATAAATGGACAGGTGAGGTGAGACTCTAGGTAGTCGAGTATTAACAGATGGCAAGAGCATACAATAACAACAAATTCTAAGTGACAAAAATCATCATGCCCAAAGGTTTGGAAAGCATAAACAACAAAAAAAGAATTTAAAAAAAAATAACCTTTTTGTTCATTCACTGGAATCGTCTGCAGAATCCTAAAACCGTTGCTCACTAATAAGCACACAGGACATAATTTAAATTAGAATATCTTTCATGGAAACTTGTTTTTTTTTAAATCATTGCTGCATTTATATTTGCATGAGCCTGTATGAAAATGACACCTAGTTTGAATAGTCACTGCTCACATTGCTCGCATGTCTGCTTATCTGAGCCGTCGCTACACTGTGGAGCCGAGTCACATTCCAGACCCGGCAAACAGCAGCCGTTTGCACAGGTGAATTCCCCTTCTGCACATGTAGCACCGCATTTTTCTCCTGTGGCCCACAAACACAGAGGGAATTGTCCCCTTTGCAATATCAACCGTTTAATGGAGTAGAGGAAATTGTGTCAGAAGGTAAAATACTTGGCAGAGTTCACCTACCTTCAGGAATCGGCAAACCTCTGCCGGATTTACCATCTTTTTCTGAAAGAAAAACAACCAAATTAGATTAAAATTCAGTCACTTGTTGAAAATGAATTGAAGACTCAAGGAAGTTACTGGCCTAGCGAAGAGGGGGTCTCGTACATAACCCCCCCCCAAAAAAAGTAAAAAGGTATTTTGTTTTGTTCAGATTGAACCAAGATACTTCAAGTATAAAAGCTCATAGCACAGATACCTAAGCCGGAGCAGGCGTTGATGCACTCCTCCTTGGTGACATAGTTGTTTAAATTCTCGTTGCAGCCCCCAAATGTGAACTCCTCACACTGTTCAGAGGCGGCATTGTAATGCCAGCGAGGGTAGGCACCACGACACCACCCGACCTTCTTCGGAGCCATACAGTGGTCTGGAGGGGAACAAAATAAAAGGATTAGGTTGGATTCACAGTTCATAATAGTCACTTGAGTAAGTAAGAAGTTTGAGAGTTAATGATATAATCGAAATATAGTTATAAATGATCAAAGTTGTCTTATGTAGTCCAGCACAGTAATCGCCCCAAAGGCTGGAGAGAACAGATTTAATGTATAAGACGACTTCATGAGACTCATAACAATGTAACACTTGTGATCATCTCATAGCCGCCGCCACCACTTCCTACTTTCGGTGTCAGTCTCATGAGCAGACAGACACATAATTACATGTGCAGCCGTCTTTGATAGAGGAAGGCAGAGAAAGAGTTGCAGTGTTTCCTATAGACACTGAGGTTACATAAGGCGACGCAAGTTGTCTGCATGTGGTCTATGTCATGACACATAGTCGAAGTCTAACCAGAGTGCTCACGTGCATTACAGTCATTTCAAGACATTACATGCCGACTGCAGAATTAAACCAGGAACTGTAAGTTACACCTTCATCACCAAGGTCTCATGTCTGATTGTCCTTCATGAATGGGTTTAGTTGGTATTCAATCCATTCATTCATTCATTCATTATTGTGGTGTAAATGTGGCAGCATTGACATGTAGTCTCTGCCTATGCCCATGCATAATCCACCAAAGCACAATTACTCACTATTCAGGACACAGGCTGTTAATCAGTAACTGAGCCACTGAAAGGTTAAAAGTGTTTTCTTGTCCTTCAGTCGATCAACCAACAAGCTGCAACATATACAGCTAATGAGTCTAAAGAACTCTTGAATGAGAAATCTTGTCGTCGATACGGAGAAGGATTACAGAGGTGGTTGAAATGTTGTTTGTGTAACACGAGCTGAAACCAGACAGACAGGTTTTGATGAGTCGGGGGTGGAGAGAGTGGGACAGTACCAGGGAAGCAGTAAAAGCCAACTGCACTACTCACTTCCGTTTACAGGAGAAACAAAATGTGCCAAGAGAGCTTCACCGCGGCTGTCTTTGTTGTCTTTAAAGGGAAGCGACACCGATACTTGATGTTATAAAAACAGATTACTTTTACTAAAATGTCTTGCCACATCATGGATGACTTTATTCTGTATTTTCCTACCAACAGTTTCACCCTTACAGGAGACTAATCTGGTCTAATCTTCAAATAACATGAGCTTTTATCGCTCCATCTTCACGCTGTTTCGTCATTTGGTTCCATAGGAATTAGGTGAGCATGCTGTGACATGTTTGATCAGCAAATACCAACCAAACCGCAAACAAACTAAAACACTCAGCAATGACATAACACCAGTGACAACCGTTTTTTTTAGATTTGATTTGATTGTGTAAATAACACCATATCAATAATTTGACTAAAATGTAAAGGTTTATGGAATTTAACAATGCAATTCAAAAATCCAAGAACCATCCTCTCTTAACCGTAGAAAACTATGACTAAAAGAGATGTCCTTTATGAATGAATATGTTCAGATCGTGCTGAGGCTCAGTCTAGATACTCACGGTCAGATTGCTCAGGAGTCAGGACCAGCACGGTGACCTTGGTTGAGTCTGCCTGGCCGATGGCGTCTGTGACCGTTAGCTGGAACTTGTACACCCCAGATGTCAGATTGGACACGCTAAACTGGTCGTCATAGGTGGTTTTCTACACGCCATGAATAGACAGGGTTTTCTTATTATCCACAAATATGATCAGTTGACTTTCAATTTAGCGACCGACACAAATAAATAGCATTACACTGGACATTTAAAAGGAATATCAGACACACAGAAGCAGGATTACTAACAGTTCAAGAGTATGTCAAACTCTTACAAAGAACTTAGGCGAGATCATGTTTGCTTTACTGTGTTTACTCACCTCAATGACAGCATAAGGATAACTGGTGAGCATTTGCCACTTGAAAGATACAATCCCCTGGTCATCTTTGCTCTGAAAGCCGTTCAATGTCACGGTGTCCTGAGGCTGGACTACAAGATCCTGGCCTCCATCGGCCACCGGGGGTTGGTCGCCTTCATCTGGAGAGAGACCATGGGATAGGTGAGCAAATATTACAGATCCAAATACAGTTAAGAGTCACACCTGGACTGACAGGAAACCTAAATACTCTATACTCAGGGCCATAACGACCTGGCGTGTGTGAACATGCATACTGAGGGTTTCTGCCATGTGCCTGTGGACTCACAAATCCACATTACAAAGTGTGTTTTTAAAAAAGTTTTTAAGAAATGATCCGACCCCCTGAAAATGAGCCCTATAGAGGTCAATTTACACGTTACAGCTGTTTCTCTTTGTAGATGTAAGCCCAAAGGAGGAATGTAGGACATAATGACTATATTCATCACACTGTACGATCCCTTTCATAATGTAAGGGGCCCAAACCGTAACATGCATCTCTACATGGATATTTTTTATTTAAAAAAAAAAAAAAAAAAAGAGTTTTCGTCTTACTTTGGGAAACATCCACTGCAAGATGGCTCTCATAAACGGAGTCCAGGATGTAATTGATGTATCCCGTCTTCCTGACAAAGCGGCAGGCGTATTTCTTCTTGTACAGACAATCAAATAGAAAGCAGGAGTTGACTCTGCCTTCCTCGGCTCCTCTCTCCATGAATGCGACATTGCACTTCGGCTCTTTGCAGCAGGAGGCCACGCAGTCCTTGGATCGATGCAGATTAGGCGACGAAATGAACGTCGCTCCGTCTTTCACGGAGTCGTCGACATCGAGGACAAAATCCTCCTGACCCTTCTTGAATCGGGCTATGCACGTCTCACCAAGCTGCCCGCAAGTGGAGTCAAGTAGCACCAGGAGCAGGAGCGCACACGCGCCCCACTGCCCTCTAAGGGGTAAAGTCATTTTATAGGCCCTGTGAAGATTTCCACACAGATAAAAATAAATAAAAAATCCAGAGATCGCCTGTTACGACAGTAGCGAATAAAAACACCAACAAAGGCAGTTTTTTTTTCTTCAATTAATTGTTAGGCCGCAAAGTAGCAAAACACTTTGCTTCTTCTCTCAAATCAAGCTTCAGCTCCTGCTATGCATCCAGAAAACGCTTCAAAGCTTCCACAAACGCTCTCCAGGCAGATTTGATCCTTTCCTACTCTCAAACTCACACGTTTGATGTCGACAAAAAAAAAAACCCTGAGCGATCGACGACATTGCCCAGGTGACTCACCTGAGACATACAGGAAGTGAAATTCCACTCGCGAGATGCCACTCCCTTCTGGCTGTGAAATGATCGCCAAACAAAACAAAACAAGGACAGCGCTTTGTGTGAGTGTGAATGTAAAGCACTGTGCTGTTAACACATGAAGTCATTTACCACATTAGGATTGTTTCATATTGTCACAGGGGGGTATGGCCTTTTATAGAGATTGAACTGCTCGCACACACTCTTCTTGTTCAGCTTGTTCTTCCTTATCTTTTCACTGATATGAATTCAGAACATGGGTGCTTTTTGATGACGTTTTTCTCTGGTAGGAACTTACATTTCTTTAACTTGTAACTGTGACGCACTCGAGAGCCCAGGTTTTGTGTTTTTTTAATTGTTGATAAACTTTTTATTAGTGTACCCCAAAAACTGGGACAACTTTCATCTTGTTAGGGAGTGCACTGGTAATTTACGAAGTTCTACAATGAGCAACGAACTCGTCTAATTTTGATTTTGTCATAATGGAATTCCCCCATGAAAAAGTAATCCTTCAAAATCCTGAGGAAACACTACAAATGACACCAGCAGCAGTCATGCAGCTGCTAGAGGGCAATGGGAATATTTTACCCACTATAGTGTAAACATAGAGTAGGCCTACAATAAGCTCACTAAATACAATATGATCATGTTGAATTATGTAAATGGTTATTTACTTTAGTATTAGTATACATTCTCTTTATATCATAACCCTTTTTAATGTTTAAAAATAAAATAAATTATTCTATGTGTGACAGAAATTAAATACAATCACAAGTTACATCATAAAAAAAACATAAAACCATCAATAAGGTAAAAAACAACAACAATCGAATGCACACAAATTACAGAACAGCAACAAGAGAAGCGTAAAACCTGGTGGTTATATGAGCTGCTTCATACAAACAAATATGTCCAGTGGTCAGACAAGAAAGTGAGTCTTGTAAAAAGTCCCCTCTTTCTGTGTCCTTGACTTCATCTGTCAAATTCTCACGCTTTATTCCAGAAGGTGGCAGTATGATCCCATCTACAGCTGAAGAAGCAGCTGAAGGTGAACACTTCAAAATGTTTTTTTCTCCAAACATTGTGAAACATGCTTTCTGGCAGATTTCCCACTTACAGTACAATCATTAACACATCTTATGATTCAAACTATAGACCCCCCCAGTCACCTTTTCGCAATTGGTACTGATGATTCATGCAGTGAGTCACCCAATTACAGTATGTGATGAGTCATGAAGTCAACAATTTAGACTACAGGAAGCAGGAAATGGTTGTTCAAATTAGGAAATGCAGCTGAGTGATTGGGACTCAAACATAGCTTCAGGCATATTTAGCAGCAGGATAATGGATTTTTGAAAAAAAACAAAAAAAAAAACTGTAGCATCCATGAAGTCTACAACTTCCTGCCAATGATATCTTACATCTTCATCAAACAGTGAAGATACAACACAAAAGGTCAAGCTCATTTACTGGCCCTGCTTTCCGTCTCTCCCACATAGAAAGCGTCACCTGGCCAGGTACAGAGTGAGAAGGCCTGCAGGTCTTTCTGGTGCATGTCCCCCCCCCCCTCCCCTCTGTTTTTTTAGACAACCCGACCGTGCAGAGCCAAGCAGCATAAGAAGAGATGAATGAATTTGTTTGTCTGGAAAGGTGAGCTGCTATAGAAGCACTCAATAATTCAGTGTTTGTAACAGACGGTGCATCAGTGGGTGAACACGCGCATGCTACGGCTGATTGATAGTCCCTGCCAAAACAAAAAACTGAACCCCATTATTCATATCGTAATAGGATCTGTGGAAACTCTGCAGCCCATTGTCTCCGTGGTCCCAACTGTAACAATGTGTCACCTGAAGGTACAACTATGAATTTTTGACCGTGGGTTCATGTGCTGCTGCTGATATTTGACTTCGCAAACGATGATGGTTTCAGGACTTTTTTTTCTGGACATTTGACTTCTAGACAGCCATAAATAGTGCTTTCCTACTCATTAATTATTTATGGGTGCGTAACCAAGGATGCCAAATTGGCTTCAAGGCTTATTAAACGTACACCTGATGATGTCTGTTTTAAAGGGCAAGGCAGCTATCGCACTAGAGGAACCCTGGCTCACCTGTCAGGGGGACCCAGCTTTTGTTGGAAGTGTTTGCAAACACAAGAGCAAATGACCAAACCCTTTTGACTTTGTGGGGAGACAAATATATATATCTACAAATCATATGATCGGAGATAAAATAAAAAGACCTATTTCTATATTTTTGTGATGTCAGTAACACTTGCGGCATATCAGCCAGAGTAACACTCCTAAATTGAAAGTTGTGGATGCCCTCTCACCCTTTCTCCAGTTTATATTGCTGCAATTGAACTGTGCTCTCTCACCTGCCACAACACTGGGAAAGAGAGCAAAAAGCAAACACACACCTTATAAAGTGCATGTGCACACACACAAATGCATGCACAGACTCACACACGCACGCACACCGAAGCATATCTCATTACCATCCTCCTGATAGTGCAGCCAGTGGGTGTTGCAAGAGGAGGAGGGAAGGAAAGCAAGACAGCGAGCCTCAGAGAGGGAGAGAGAGGACGAGGACAGGCAGAGAGCCAGAGCCAGCGTTATAGAGAGGGAGAGCACAAACACTCAACAAGATAATAGGAGATACGTGTGGGAACGACAACACACTGGATAGAGACAGAGCAGGGTGTGTAAAAGGAAGTCCGAGCCTGTGGGTCTGTATCTGTGTGTGTGTGTGTGGGTGTGTGTGTGTGTGTGTGTGTGAGCTTGTGTTTCCACGGTTTCCCTGAGGCCGTGGCAGCCATGGCGTCAGAGCCCAGCACCCAGTCCAGGGTGATGTTCCAGGCAGCGGACAAAACAGAGGAGCCGGCGCACCGCAAGCTGGGCAAGCTGACAGTCAAATACAACCGCAAGGACCTGCAGAGGAGGCTGGATATCGAGGAGTGGATCGACGGGCAGCTGCACCTGCTGTTTGACTGTGAGGTAGGGTAGGGCTGGCTCACACAGACACACACTCAGGGCGCACATCGTGTTGGGTGCTTGAGGATAAGGTGAGGGAAATGAGCAAGGGGGGCACTGAGCTGCTCATGAGGGCCTGTGGTGGGCTATCCATCATGTATGAGAGATTACAGCCACCTAAAAAAGGAGTGGGAGGCATTAGCTTTGCTTAATAGCGGCAATTTTTGGCACTCAAACCCTCATGTGCCATCAACCTGACTGCTGTATCAGCTGTGCGGTGTGCTCTGCGCTCTTCTACCATAGCGATAAGATTTTTATTCCAATATATGTCAACCTTGACAATGCAACACCTAGATCACTTTAAACATGGTTGCCATATATTTGTGATTTAGATGTTCAGAAGTTGCTTTTTCCACAGTGTGAAGTAGAATAGATTAAAGGATCAGTGACATCAGAAGCAAACAATATTGAGGAGCAACAGAGTAAAAGCACCACAACAATATCCCTGTGACTCTGTGATAAAGTAATAATAAAGTGCCGCAGAAAGCATGCATACAAAAATTAAAGCCAAGGGTATTTGTATTTTGAAATGCACTCCAAATGTTGCAGTTTTTATGTTCTGCTATTATGGTGAGATCCAGGACATTATGTCATCATTTTAGTGTCTGTGTATGTCCTGTCTCTGTTTGTAGACACATTTTCAATAGCTATATGCACGATAGAAACTACATACATGAATCGGCCCTATATGGATGATGATTAATGATGACAATGATTAGACATTGGGGACACTTTGCAGGCTTTTTTTCCCCAAAAGCATTCAAGATATGCAGCTTATATTAAGACAGTGCATGTGTTATGTAAAAACAACATATTTAATGTGGAAATGTGTGCTCATTATTTCAGTAGTGTGCTTAATCAATGGCCTCATTGCATAGATGGTGTTGAATATTTGCAGGGGATTATGTGGCGACATCAGCCAGCTCTCTCTCACACACACACACACACAGCAACCTTCAGAACTGCTCCTGTACGGTGGGATGCAATCCAATTATGTCAGAGGCTCCATATTGATTTGCTTGGCATCCTCTAAGGGGAAACCATGGCAACAGATGTCTCATCGCCCACATGAGGCAGCATAGCATGGTGGAATTAGGGGTGTCTCTTGAGGAGCATGAGCTTCCTCATGACAATGCAGATCTGATGACAAAACTGCCTCCGTTTCATGCCAGAGACGACAGAGACAAACTGTTTCTTGTTTGATTCTTGAACCACACAGAGACCCCCTTGGCTGCAGACGATGATCTGTAGCCACCTCTCTGCTGGCATCCCTTTACACTGGAGACCTTTGCATATAGCATAATACGAATGCTGCAGAATGTGACCCTGCATCCACATCCATCTGACTGGCTGGCTGACATGGAAGTTTACGGCAAATCTATGTGATAGACAATCATCCTCTCCAGTTATCTCTTTTTCTAGACCAGTAGATTATAAAGGTTAAGCCTGGCTGGGCAAATTTGAATACACTTTATTTGCATCTGACTGCTAGGCATGTTTAAATATTGTGCAACAATATTTCTCATCCCAAAACTTACTTCATGAGCTTTATCCCAATTACATCCCAAGCCTTCTTCCCTGTGGTAATATATGATAATATGCTTGTAAAGCAGAGGGTGGAATAAATTACATTAGTTGAAACCAGGACATGTGAAAACAGGTCTGAAGTCTTTCTTCGTGTACTCTTTTGATCTTGTCCCAGAAACAGACTTTAATTATTTCACATGATTTGCAGTAATTGGCCTTTCATGTTCTGGTTCTAACATAATCTAATATAAGGATAAATGCTCCGCACAGATAGTGCATGTGCCCTAATCAGCTGAATGATTGGATCTCAGTGTGATTGATGAGACAATGAAAGATACAAATGCCTTTGATTCCATCATGATAGTGGTTGACGTCTTGAATTTGAGTAAAGAGAAGTTCCTCTTCTATACAACTTTCCCCAATTATAGTCTACATCCTCGCTATACGTAGATGAGTGCTTTGCCTTGTAGTTAGATAGACTGGATATTTGCATAAGCCACTTGAATGGAATCAGTTGTGGCTCGTCCATGTGCGCTGGCTAGTGTCATGAATTTTGCATGGGCTCAGGGGAAGGTAACTCTGTTGCTCCTCAGAGTCTTCCGCGTGGAAGCATTTACCATCAGTCCCCTGTGTCACAACCTAAATAATTTAGCCGCATCTCTAATTCACACAAGTGCTGCCTCGGTCTGGAGTGGCCCCCTTCGTTTTCTAACTTCACACCTTTTGAGAAATAATAAACTAAAAAAGAGGTGTGACAAACAGCTCTCACTTAGACTTGAAAATGTTGAGCAATGTTTGTGCTTGTGTGTGTGTTTTTGTAACCCAGATCAGTGTTTTCCTGTGTCATGACTCAGTCTGTGAGGTTAATGGATATTTTGATCTGTGTGCAGCTCGTGGCTCTGCCCGGAAAAAGGAAGGGTCTGATAAGTTAAACATGCACAGGCATCTTCTCCAAAACAGCTAGATTTCCTGGGCATGGTTTCCTTAACATTATCATCCCAAACACAGATGTTTGTGTAATGGAACCACAGATGTTTTTTTTTTTTTAGTGTTTTCCAACGCCATAGGTCAGTGCATATCCTTTCATAACACTGCCATGTAATGAACATGTAGAAAACTACAGGACTCTAGCTGTAAACAACATTTAAACAAATAGTTCAATATTTTGAGAAATTCATTCATTCGCTCTCTGGATGAAAATTTTGAGAGAACATCACAGACTCTCATATCTGTCCGTTGAATATGAAGCTACATCCAGCTGGTTCGCTTAGCTTAGAGCATGTTCAGTTGTCTTCCAAAGTGGAAATGTGGTCAGCTGGAAGTGATAGAGTGAAGATGAACGTGTCACCACGATCACTTCGGGACAAAAAAGGATAAAAACATTGAAATGATCATGCTTGCTATATGCCACTGAAATTTGAGTTCCAAACCAAAGAAGTCATGACAGGAAAAACCAGGTGACCTCATGATAATGATGAAACATTCCTGATTCTGAATCCTAAATTCTAGTGGAGGTCATCTTATCTCCACAAAATCCAACTGCTTATCCAGAATGCATCTGTATTGCCCTTCTGAAACTGCAATCCCACGGGAACCATTTTCATGTTCATAAATTCCAATATTAGTGCCAACATTTACTTTAGCTTCAGTCCATTGCTTTTAACCTTAAAAAAGTGCTACTGAGAGATTTCTGCCCAGAGGCCTCATTAAAATGCAATTTTCCTCCGACTGTGAAGGTAACTCTCAACAAGCTAAAGAATGCGACTGCGTACACAATATGAAATTGTGAAAAGTTAGTAGAAGGGTCATGGTATTTCATCATGATAAATGCACATGTTCCTCTTACTGGTATTCAGTGGTGCTCATGGCCCTGCAGTCAAAAAGGACCAGTTCAGAATTATATATGGTATATACATTCATCGCTTGCGCTTTACTTTGGTAGGTTTCATTTTCACATTAATCCTTGACTCAAGATAGTCATTTAAAGCAATTAATGTGAATATATTATTAATCCTTGTTCAGTGCAAATAAGTACTTCTAAAAATCAATCAAAACTAACATCTATTATAACAAATTTGGTTATCCCTAACACGGATAGAGAATATACCTAATTATACTGAATAAAAACAACATTCATTATATGGGCTGCTCTAGCGTCATGTTAGCTCCGGACTACCAGAGTGTAGATGTCAAGCTAAAGCTGCAAGTTAAGGAAAAAACTAAAACATTGGATTGCTGAAAAAATCGGACCCATACAACATGAGCAGAGACAAGGCAATGATGAAAAGAAATCTGAACTATTTTATTTACATTTACCAAACTGTTTAAGTGTTTGGCCTTACCATCACAAACATCCCCAGCCTAACACAGTAAACCTGGTAAAGCAAAGCCCAAACAATACAGAAATGTACAGCATGGACAAAAAAAAAAAAAAGCATCCAGGCCTGCGTGTGTCATGCAGACATCAGCAGAATCACACAGGGTCCAAACTGGAAGCATGTATCAATTAGAGCGGGGCACAGGGGATTCTGAAGGTGGGCCCATCTATTCCTCTACTCAGCACTTCCACATTGATTAGCTCTCTCCTCATCCAGAAAGCTGTACGAGCCCCATCCTCACAAGCCATGAAAACTCTCCAACCGGAAAATATCCCTCTTAAAAGTAGGCCCCACTTGTCAAAATTGAGTGTCCACCTGCTGACTCTAGATATCTTGGCGTTCACGATTCCTCCAGTGAGCACTGTTCTTTCCCTCTGAAAATGTAGTTAAACGGTGAGGATAAGAGCTTGTGATAAAATGTGATTACTTTGCTATATTTGCTTTTCATAACTGGTGACTTTGTGCCCTTTTTTTTTAACAATCTCTCCATGAGGTTGGCATTGATCTTTCTCTGTGCTGCCAACCATTGTTTAGTTAAGGCTAACATTTTAGAAAAAGGGGTTTGAATGGATTTAGTTAGACCTCAAGTTAATACATTACAGTGTACGCTGCCCATCGGTTGGTATTTTAACTCACACTGTGTGACAACCTAGCTGAAATTAATATATTCTTTTGGAGAACATTTAAACTGGAAATAATCTCTCACTAACGGCTGAGATAAATGCTTGCTGGGAAACCATCCATAAAATCGGGCGGTGTCATGTTGCAAGTATAGCCCCCCGGAGCCTTTTTGCCTTCATGCCTCAGTGCTCTTCAGCACATCATCAATCCTATCATTGTTATGAGAAATTATTATGGAAGAAAAGTGTTTATTCCTATTGCAACAACACAGACAACATTAACTTGGGCGATCCTCTTCCTATAAAAGTATGGTGCCAACTCTTGAAAACCGACAATACAACAACTTATATAAAATCCTTGCCACGTTGCATCACATCTTACACTTTATTTTCCTTCTGGATGACTCTGCTCAGTGGTGTGGTTAGTCCTACCACTGCCAGTGAAAGGATGGCAAGAGGCCCACATTATACAGCGTTAGCAAGAGCTTTTGTAGCATGCAGAAATACAAGTGTGGGCAATATAGCGAGAGGGGAATACTGCCTTTAACATTTGTTTCTCTCTGCTTTCACAGGAGGAAGAGATTCCAGAGTTAGAGATTGACATCGACGAGCTCCTGGAGCTGACAGGCGAGGGACAGAGAACCCGTCTGCAGGTAAGATTGTGCAAATGAATGTAAAAACAATGACATGTTTAGCCACTATTCACATTGCATCCATAGTTATTTCTATATTCAATAATTTATTGCTCCATGGAAATGGTACCTAGAACTGCAGTTCTACAATCCGAGTCCCAGGAATCCAACAATCAGACCAACGAGTTTGAACATTTCAACACCTTGATACCTGGGTACATACCTAACTATTTACAATGTGGGGTAATAGCTTAACAAGCACTTGACCCTTGCAGAAACCCAATGTTGCAATGTTTGCACTGAAAAAGTAATGGCCAATGTTGTTACTGAGCCTGTATGTTTCTTTTCTTTGTTAGGAGCTGTTGCACGAATGCGGAAAGCCAAAAGAGGTGAGACAAAAAATAACTTACACAAAACCAAACACAAGCATATAAAGATTTCAACAAGAACTGTATTGCTTGTTTACTGTTACTGTTGCAGTGTCTAGTCTGTAATAGTTACTCCATCTTCCCTTTAGGATTTTGTCAACGGGCTGCTCTACAGGATAAAGGGTCTACGCAAAATGTCAGGTCCCTTGAAGAAATGATTATAGGTCAAATAAAGAAATGAGACAATGTGGAGCCTCTTATCTTCCCATCTCCCATGCATTAAGTGTAACATGTGAGTGGGACTCTTCCTGCCGTCTGCCCCCCCTTCTTGGGGCGGCAACAGTCTTAACACCAGAGCAGTCGGCTTTTGAATGGATTTTTTAAATTATTTCACTTTAAACCGACCGACTGCTGTAACATTTTGTCTCCCATAAACATACCAATAGCGCACATGTGATAAAAGTTGTACTCAGACGGACTGCTTTTTTTGTGTAAGACTGTACATTTTCGGTTGCCCATTTATGTACATAAATATTTTTGTTCTGATAACAGCGTTGTACGTCAAAATAAAATGGAACATTTTCAAGAGAAGGCTGTTGATGACGTCTGATCCTGACAAAGTGAGCGATCAAGTCTGGTATCATCAGGTATTATTCATTCCACACATACAAATAAATATTGACATGTCCATTACACCCATCAATTTAAAGTACCAATTAAACTGTTGGTGTAGTTGCTCTTTATTACTGCTCTAAAACCCTTATTTGCCTTTAAAGAAATGATTATGTCCTGTCCAGAGACAATTGTAAGACTTAACTGGGAGCGCGGCTTTCAACATGTCATTCCCAGAACACAAGTTTCCATTTTCTGGCGTAAATCTTTCAACAGAGGGATGGAAACAAAGGAGACGTTGACATGTCAAATCTAGGAGTAAACACAGTGAAATCAGTGGCAGGAAGGTCCATTAAGTATGCATCCATTATCCTCATCCATTTCCTGTCTGTGGTGCGTGTATGACATGGCCAAACACAGTAACAGCCTCCATGCAAACCTTAATGGAGCAAGCCCCCAGAGGAAAAGTGTAATTACGGTTTCTCCTCAGTTAGCTTGACAGTAATGCACACTGATGAAACTGCACTCCGGCCTTCTCTCGGTCATACGCAGAGGGTCTTTCGGCTGAGGGCTCCATTACAGTAATTTGCTTGGTTCCCCCCCCCACTCTTGCTTCTCTGACACAGAAGCCATCTATAGTGTAAGACTGCACTTCTAACAGGGCCTGCCAGCCTGGGACATTTTTGTCAATTGATGATATCAGTGATTCGGTGTTAAAAATGTAGCTACAAAAATGTGACATAACCAATAAAACGTTTGTGTATCCTTTATATTGGAATTGTACACAAGGACAAGAAAGGCAACAATCATGTCACACTTGCAGCCAGACGTAGATTACATGAGTGACTGCAGTGCCTGCCAAAGAAAACAAAGAGCTCAGTAATCCTTTTATACTGACTCCTCTGTACTTGATCAGTCCAGAGCTGACGGTAGTCTGGGGTTGTACATCGTACCAGATGAGCTCGTGGTGTGGCTGCTTTCTGTGTGTGCACAGTGCGTCTAAGATGAGCCTTTTGTTGCCTTTGGAAAGTAGAACAAGTGATAATAGAAAACACTTAAAAGCTTCTTATTCGTTTAAACAGTTTGTATGCAGAAGCTGTGCAATTTTACTAAAATACCAGAAAAAAAGAGCTGTTTTTATTTTATATTATACATATTGCATTACTTTAAAATGTATGTCTATTTGTAGGCTTTGCTTAGCTATAAATATTACCCATTGTTTTTGTCTATCCCTGTTAACAATTACAGAAAGAAGATGCTGCTTTTCCTGGGGTGTACGCAGACACATGTTTATAGCCACTTTGGGCAGATTACATTTACATTACAGTCATTTAGCAGACGCTTTTATCCAGAGCGACTTATAATTCAGATTCTATCACACCGTAGGCACAGCTACGGGAGCAATTTTTTGGGGGTTAAGTGTCTTGCTCAAGGACACATCGACATGCGACTAGCAGAGCCGGGGATCGAACCGCCAATCCTTCAATTGAAAGACGGCCCTGCTCTCCCACTCACCCACGGTGGATAAAACAAGTTGAGGTTAAAATGAGGGGTCCTGGACTGTTTCGATAATAGGTAGTGTTTAAATCTTCTATGATACTATTTTATTAACAATAATAGGTCACTTAAGTCTAAAGCACAAGTCTAACAGTGATGACTGACCAGAGCCTGATATGGCAAACACCAACAGCACATCTCACTATCAAGTCTTCCTCTTCTTCTTTGGCGCAGTGTAGTTAGTGGTGCGGTGCTCCTTCCTGTCATATTTATCATGGCCTTCCCTGGGGAGATAATGGAAAGTAGATTGATAATTCATCACAATAAATACTTTATATCCATGCTGCTCAACAATATGGCAACAGCCTGGCTAGAATATATCTGGGTCATGGTATAAATTCCAAATCATAGCCATCTTTCTTGGGCATCAGAGCAAAGATTTCCATGCAAAGCTTTACTACGAGGCCAAAACCAGAATTCCTATTGCGCTTCTTATAATGAATGTCTGTTAAGCTATACCTGAAGCAGCGGTTGCAGTATAGGTCTCCATCACAGGTCTGACAGCGAATAGTGGCATCATGGTCACAGATGCAGCACCATGGAAGCTCCTCCTCATCACTGTCTGATGGCTGATGTGCAACAGCAGCGGTTAAAATCCTACTCTTGGGTGCTGGAGCCTGGGTCTTTAAAAGAGACATCAGTCAACAAGGGATTAAATGTTATTCCCTCGAATAACTTGAAAATGTTCTGAATTTGTATTTTGGTTGTTGCTTAGTACCGGTTTCTTTGACTGTTTTTTCATTTCTGTGTTCTTTGGTCCACTGTGTTCCAAAGGTATGTTGTAGCCACTTGCCTCTTCCAATGCAGCCTCTTCGGAGAGCTGGAACAAAAATACAGGAATTTCAAAACATGTCCTCCATTTCTCATTAGAAATTATCAAAATGGCATAATAGTAGCCCCTTGTGGCCAAACAAACTGATCCAGATCAATGATATGCACTCAGTAGCAACAAGTTTATCAGCTAAAATGTAATATAATCTACATTACAGAATACAGTTTGCCTTAAGCCCCAGACCTGTTTTAACACTCTCTTCACAGCTTCTTCCTCAGTTTCCTCCTCACTGTCAGGATGCTGAAAGTCCTCCATAGTAACTAGAAGTGACATGAACAACACAATGATGACATACACCCTTCTGTCATCGCCACAATGTTTACAGTTGCAGCTCTTGACATTCCGATGTGAAAGTAAGGATAACCAATAAGGTTAAGAAGGTGGTACACGGAGACCTTTGCGTGTGACGTACCTTTGTCTGGGTCCTGCCCCTTCAGCTGCGCCATCCTCTTGGCCATGTGGAGGATCTGATCCTGGGAATGGCGCTCCTTCCTCAGCTCCTCCATGGCCTCCTCCATGACTCGAGCCTTCTCGGCCTCCAGCTGCTTGTCCCCCTCCTGGTTCTCCTCCAAATTCTCATCCAATGTTCCCCCCTCCCCCTTGTTTAGATCATTCATACGGCCATCTACACCTGCAGGGGGATCAATAGGTCTGAGCATATTTGTAGCTGAAGTCAGCTTTTGGTGTCAGAATGTAGCTGTGATATAATTATTATGACTGTGGGAAACTATTATATGACTGTATCTTTAATTATTTATTGAAAGCGGGAGAAATTGATGAGATGAATAATTACTGCATTCAGTTGATTGCTGGTTGTCTATGGCAACTTCCTCTGACGTCTGAGTAATCAGATCATTGGCTTGTTCAGTCTGAGTCCTGTTATCTGGGGGCTGGTGCACCTGTACAGATGAGCACACAAGCACTTACTGGTAAGCAATCATAGCAAACTATTCAGCATGCGAGTCCCTCCAAATAGCATTCAGTACTTTAAGATGTCCTTGAGCCAAACTGTAAGGCCCGAGATTTTAATAACAAGTTTAGCTCACAGGTGTAGGAGCTTGGGATGGTGGAGTCTGACCCCGTAGAACTGCCAGGCGGTCCTCCATCTCTTCTGTAGAAGGCACTGGCCGGCTGGGAGTTTTCAGAGCAGCAAGGCGCGACTCTAGCTCTTTCTCAGTGGGGACGGACTCTGCAGAAGATGTAAAAACCTTACAACGGATTTTACCAAGACAAAAGATATTATTATGTGTTAGATTCAAGCCAAATGGCAGCTGCTTTAAATAATGTTCAGTACTTGGTGCAGTATCCTCCTTCAGCTTTTGAAGTCTTTCAGCAATAGCTTGATCTTCTTTATTCAGGCCTTTGGTTGGTAGACGGCCTGCTTTACCGTTTCTACTGCCTCCTTGTGCCGGAGGCTGTGTCGACTGTCCCTGCTGTTTGGCCTCAAGTGCAGCAACCCGTCTGTGGAAGAAACAGGAAAGTTTGAATATCATGAAACTGCTGTTGACAAAGTGGCATCTTTCCTAAATTTGATCCTCTACTAACTTTTTGTAATTTTCGGGAGGAGACCATTTTCCTGCACTGTTTGGAGATTCTCCGCTAAAAATTGAAGACATGACAATGAGACACAGCGTTTACTTATACTAAATTGTATATATATATGTATATTCACAGTCATGTCATAATGCACGGTTTGACCTTTACCTTGTCAGATTACCGTGGCACTGTTTACAGACCTTCTGCTGTGTGTTGCCACAGCGAGGCACCACAGCACTGAAAGTCAAACAGCTGGAGCAGAAGGAGCGGCCGCAGCTCTTACAGCCCAGCTGTGAGGATATTGAAACGTAAATTAGACTGTTTACTTTCCTTACTATGTTTAAGATGTACAACTATGGATACGTATTAATATGCTATGCTAATAATATAAACCAGGAATGTCTTACCTCCTTCTTGAATAGACTGAACTTTGATGCACAACAATAACAACGGTTGTTCATGCCGACACGTGTGGATAATCATGAGACAGGCTGTTTAAAGTTGGCTGATATTTCTCTAGCTGGTAAATATGTGAAGAAAACGGACTCTATTAACAATACGTTCCGAGCTAGCTACCCATTTGCAACCTTTCAACGTTGCTGTAATCAAAACAGGAACAATTCCGGAAGAGGTGATGTGACGTTGAATTGCATTTTCCGGTTTCTGGTTCCTCCAATCAGCTTCCTCCAAAGTGGCTCGCGGTCCTTGTTTGAAACACAGAACCAACGACTGACCAGTGTTCCTGTTACAACGATATAACGTTAGCTGTAACGTATATAACCTGGAAAGAGACAGAGGAGGACTGTAATCGGTATGAAAAGCCACTACTTTGTAGATCATATGTTTTGCATTTATATTTGAATGGTAAATGTTGCTGATAGCGCGAACGACGACAAAAACAATCGAGCTAAAGCTAATGTTAGCTAGACAGCTAACGTGTTAGCGCGACAGCTAACGTGTTAGTGCCCCCCCCCCTCGTCATGCACTCAACGTTAGAAAACGAACCTCACAAACGAGTAAATTATCTAACGTTAGGGCACTGGAAATGTCAGTTATACCATTTTGCTAACGGCACTCTAGCTACTCGTTAACGTTAAGATGTCAAATTATATTCATAACGTTGTATGATGTAGGATCATAGTCGCGTATTGTTATATTATTTACGTTACTTACATCTCCTTTACGGCAGTAGTCAATCGCTCCTGTGATATGATTCACGTGTTTTGAATTATTTTATCAGTTTGAACACTCGTGTACCAACTTACGCCCTCAATGGTGATAAGAAGTATTATTATATTGAGCTTAATAATTTATAATATAACATACTATTTATATGGGACACTTCAGACATCAACATGTATTACACAGGTTTATATCCACAATTGAGCTACACGTCAAAGGACAGGACTACAATACATTTTCTAAAAATAACGTTAGTAAAACTCTATTTGAATAGTTATGCTATACTTCATAAGCCTTTGAATCTATTGGGAGGCTACAACAAGGTCTAATGGGATAATGTGTAAAACAATTTAGAGCTGTGACTAACGATCATGTTATTTATCAGTTAATCTGTAAATTATGTTCTAGATTATATTGATTAGTTCATATTAGGAAATGGCAGAAAACAGTAATAGAAAGCCCAAGGTGACCTCTTCAAATGTCTTTTTTTGTCCAACCAACATTCCAAAATCCCAAAATATACAGTTTACAATTCTATAAAACTGTAAATGTTTACATTGGAAAGGTTGGAACCGTAGATTGTTTAGCATCTTTCCTTGATAAATGGCTTAAATGATAAATCTTTCATCAAAATTGTAAGTAGGAGCAAATAAACCTTCAGTGAAAAAGATAATCAGTCTAAACCAGAGCAGGTGCAAGAAGAGAGATTTACATATTAGTGTTATTCTCTGCAGAAAAAACTATTATGGAGAATTTGGGCATTAATTCTGCTAACTCTCACAGCTGTCTACCATTTAGGCTAACTGCCTAGTTATAGAGTATGCATATTTGACAGACGTCAACATTTTTTTTATGAGACTACGTTGCCTAATGGACAAGGCATCTGACTTCAGATCAGGAGGTTGGGGGTTTGAAAGCTCCAGCTTGATTTGCAGAAACTTTGTTAAAGCATGTTTTCTGCCAACTTGAGCCCTACAATGGTGTACGTTTTAATAAATAATAGCATTTTGAGTAACTGATACGGTTGTGTCTGTAGGCATCCAGTTGTTTTAATTCCCACCATGGCAGAAGGAGGAGATGTGGAATGGGAGCTAAGCAAAGAAAACATCCAGCCACTGCGGCGGGGCAGAGCCATATCAGCCTTACATCAGGCGCTCAGTCAACAACAGGATGGACTGAGCTCTGCCATCAACCAGCAGAGACAGTATGGATAATCTATTAAAATGTGCCCCGATTGGGTGAAAGCAATTTCTGTTAAACTCTTTTTCCCAGCAGTTTTCTCATGATGATGGAGGTTTCTGGCTTTCTGTTTCTCCAGGGCCTTTGAGTCTGAACTGCGAATGTATGATGGCGATGATCCACTAGATGTTTGGGATCGGTAAGTCAAATATGTAAACAGTAAAGTGTATTCACATGCGTTGCTCTTAAATCTGAGATTTTTAATCCTCACATGGTTCTGTCTTTTACAGGTATATTAAGTGGACAGAGCAAACCTTCCCTCAGGGAGGAAAGGAGAGCAACCTCACCACGCTATTGGAACGGGCCGTGACCAGATTCACAGAGGAAAATAAATATCACGAAGACCCTCGCTATGTTGAACTCTGGATCAAATTTGTACGTTCAATATTTAAAGACTAGGTTTGCTACTTTGACAAACTGATGCAGCAGTAATAACTTTTGCTATACGTGTGTACTGTGTGCCATTAGGCGGAGAACTGCCCGGAGCCCTTGGACACATACAGGTACATGCAGGCTCAGGGAATAGGAGTGACACAGGCATCCCTCTACATCGCTTGGTCTGAAGAACATGAGAATCAGGGCAACTGTCGCAAAGCAGATCTGGTCTACCAGGAGGGATTCAAGAAGTGTGCGGAGCCGCATGATAAGCTCCTGCAGTTTCATAAGTACGAATGCATCCAGTAAAGTTTGAGATATAGATAGAAAATGCAGTATATCGGCACAATCACAGTCTTCTGTATTGTTATTCTCAGGGCTTTGCAGGCACGTGTGTCCCGACAGGTAATGATGAATGTGGAGGAGGACGACAGCGATGAGCCGAAACAACAGGAGAGAAATTCTCTAGCCGAACTCAAACGCAGAGGGAAGAAAAAGGCCCCCATAAACAGAGTTGGGTCTTCAATCAGAAGTAAGCATGTGGATAAACTGCAAATATCAGCGTCGTCTTTATTTAAATTAAATCATTTTAACGTCTGGTGTGTTTTGTAAACAGGTATTTCTGGAGGCCTGCAGTCAATTGGTGCCCCTGTCCTTGGCAATACTTCAAACAGTCGGTTGGTGGTCTTTGATGAGAACAGGACTCAAATTGCTGGCCCTTCAGAGCCTAAGTTGGAGTCTTGGGCGGCCCCTCCCACTTCCAGGGCAAAGGAGAACGAGCAGAATCCGGAAAAATGGTCTGATGTCAAGGTACGAGACAAGCATGTGTTCTGTTAGTTGGTTTAAATGTGTGAAGTGTAACCCGCTGATGTTCACTTAATGTGTCTGTACAACAGATCCCCCAGAAATCCAAATTCGGACATGCTGTTATGGCCCCACCGCCTCCAAAACCCGCGTTCCAACCTTTTGTTGAGGAGTCAGACCAGCTGCCAACAATGTGAGTGACAAGAATCTAACTTTTATCTACAGTTTGGATTTGTTGCTTTACTTTGCTGAACATTTCATTTACATCACACATTTGGGGTTCACGATAATAAGAAGCAACATTTTCCTAAAATGAATGACTATCACTGAAATGAATAAATCAACAGTGTTGATCATAAAGTAAAGCACATCCTGTTACAACCTCTCAGTTATTGAAAATCATCAATTTTTTATAAGAAAGTGTTCAGAACATTTTTAATAGGCTATACAATTGGTTAAAAAATAATGAACAGATTATTCAACAGTTAAAAAGTTGTATGTTGAAGCCCTATTCATGACTTATTTCCAACTAAAGTGATCTGAGTTTACCCTCCTCGGGTTATGCGAGTAAGATTTCTTTGATATGATTTGGCATCTTCCTTCTCCCACCTCAGGACTCCTTGTAAGATAAACCCGGCAGTGAACACAGTTTTGTCAGCACGTAAACCCTGCAGAGAGGAAACTCCTCTAAAGAGACTACAGGAGCACCATCAGCAACAGAAGGAAGCAGAATGGGGAAAACTGCAGGAGCAGAGCATGTACTGTAAAGAGCTGCTGTTCAGCGGCGCCACTGAATTCAGCTTAGAGGAGCTGCGCGCTGAACGCTACTTTAAAAAGGTGACCCAAGAAGCCGGAGGTCAGAAGGATCCAGCTAGTGCCAGTGCTTCAAACTGACATTTTTACTGCTCTTTTTTTAATGGATTTTTATCATGTAGTTAATGCTATGTATTGTTTATCCTGTTGTGTGTGTGTGTGTATATATATATATATATATATATATATATATATATTGTTCCTAGAGATCTAGTTACTCAGAGAAGTAAAAAGACAAGTTTTTTTGTTTTTGTTTTTTTTAGAAACACTTTGAACTGATGGCTCAGTCATTTAGTTGTGTTGGATTCATTAGAATATGACGGCGGGACCAAATAATGGGACACACTCATTCAATGTAATTGAATCCATTACAAAATACCAAAAACTGCAAAACTGATAACAGCTCGGATATTCTTTTACACAATTTTAACAAAAAAAATTATTTGTTGGATTGTTATACGTCTACTCCTTGTAAATACTAAAGAGATGTGTTCCCCACAGCTCTGCTGCAGACATACTAGTCACACTTATCCCTAATTTCCTGCTTACTCCATTTGTCTATTATTCTGAATTACTTTGTTCTTAAGAGCAGCGTTTGATCTGTCTTGTTCAGTGTTTCTTGAGCAGATGTTTCACTACAATTTGAACACAGTCGAAAGACAGCTTCAGTGAGGTGACTCCTCTGGGTTTAATGTCTCAGTGAAATGTCCCCTCTCGGCCATGTATCATCGGTGTTCAATAAACTTGTTCAAATGTCTAGGGAAGTTTGTTTTTCTTTTACACAGAGGGGGTTTAGTAATGCACTGTCAGCAGGAGACATGCAAGGGAAAGCATGAATTGTTTTCTTGGTAACGGTATTTGGATTACTAATGGGGAGCAACAACAATTTAGTGCTTCCTGTAATCTATTGCAGCAGTTTAAAGAGTCAACACTGGTGGGCATGAATAAAAACAGAAGCAATCTGCGTCAAGATAGTCATAAATGTCATCATTATTGCTACTTATTATAATGAAGTGACTTAATTTAACATCCTCACTGCAGGGTATCCTTGTGTTTTTTAAGAAATCCCGACATCAGGCATAAGATCATGCAAACCAAATGTTAATCATTGTCCAGGAGAGGTTACCCAGAAGCCCGCTGACTAAAATGGTGGGAGTAAACCTAATCTACTGCGATGATGGGGTGTACTTCACACACAGGCAGCTCGCTGGGCAGACTTTGATGAATGGCTAGAAGATAGGTGGTTGGCTCATTAGCAAGTGAAATCCACCCTTTGCAGTTGTGGACAGAGCAGGCCTCGCTTATCCCCAGGAGGTCACTACCCTGATATACTGTGGAGCAGAGTGTTGCTGCTCTTACATGCTCATGGAGCACTGGAGGAACAGACTTTAATCTCATTCTGGAAATATGACACTGCCAGCCAAGATCCCCTCAACTGGTGAGTTCCCAAACTGTCTACTTTAAATTTTGGCTTCGCACCGAGAGCAGCTGAAACTCTGCGATAAATGATACGCAACACGATGCACTCCCATCATAATAACACAGCATAACCACATCATAATGCATCCTCTATGGTTCGCTATTTGGCAGGACTTATTAAAAGCTCATCTCATGAAAGCAAGCAGCCAGTGACTCCGATAGCGTCTCAGACAGAAAATCCATAGCTCTCCCTTACTGCAGTGGACAGATGGTACAAGCAAGCTACCTTTCCTTAATGCGCTTTGGGGAAGAGCTTTTGTCCAGCACTGTTACTTTGACAGACAAGAACACTCATGGCCCACATACACGCTCTGTATGGGCCATGTTTTACAGTCGGAGCTCTTAACCTATTTGCACGGTTTGCCCTTGCATGCACCAGTTCACAGGAAGCTGTCTGCCTAAGCCTCTACTGTACCTCACTTAGGAGTGAGTAGACACTGTGCATGAAGATGAACTGCACTTGGCTCGCCAGGCATGGAGACGGGAGAGCCTCTGAAAGTGCAGCAGCAAATCATGAGACCAATTTATTGAAGAAAAAGCATGGAGGCCAGGAAATGGAAAAAAAGTTATTCATGATGAAAATAACTCATAGTAGCTCATCATTTTTACTTAGTAACCCATAATGCTGACCTAGTATATCAACATTTTTCAAATTCATGATTTACCATCTCAGAATTTTGACTTAGTAGGCCTAAGTCATAATTGTGACGTTTTGTTTATGACTTGCAGTACCATGAGCATTTATGCTTCTATTACGACTTATCTATTTCAGCAAGCAGGAGAATGACGCTGTAGTTGCCTCACTCTTATACAATTAAAATGGATTTATAGGTCATCTGGAAATCTCAATGGATTTTGACAAGAAATTACGTTTGCTTTAACTGTATGAACCCTGATAACCCCTGGTGTAGTCCTTACAGATTCATCCTAAACAATAGAACAAATTGAAATGCAAACAATTAAGGCAGTATCACTTATACACCCCCCCAGGCTTTCATTTTAATGACAATGTGGTTTAAGACTGCTCTTGTCACTGTAAGCCCTTTTTTTGCATCACAAGCTGTTGTTTTCAGGAGATCCTTTGGCAAGGTCATGAAGTCTGACAGTGAAGGTGACAAATACATTTGAATCCAACAGAAATCTTAGTTACCATTAGAATGCCTCTCCATCGAGACGTGCAAACAAAAGAATGATCAAATAATGTGTAATTACAGAGAAAAAATACTATAGAACTCACATATCTCGCGCATGCAAAACAATTATAAATGTATTAATCATTAAGCTTCCTTTGCATGTTTGAGATTATGCTACCTGATTAACAAATGAAAAAGCACAAAAGTCAAACTTTCTTTTGTCTTCAAATCAAAAATACATTTCTTAGCCAATGGTTCAACAGTCCAAGAGGGACAAAAAACATGTTCTTCTTTTTCACAAAATTAACTCTTTGAATAATGTCATTTACTGCACTGTCAGGTTCTGTAAACCAGATTATGGAAGCAGATGTGTTTCATTAATTGACCTTTTGACCCATTCAGTTTCCCTTCATACTGACCAAGCAGATATAGTAAGCGCAAACAGGACTGTTTTTGTGATAACTACCATTTTCTGCATAAAGACACCTATTACAAGATGGCTCTTCTCAGCTCTGAGCTCAAAATAAGTCGTGCAAAGCAGTAAAAAATAGCCAAGCAAAAAAATATCTGTTACAATAATGCTGACAAGTAAGAGTGGAAGAGAGGGAGGGGTCGTGTCTGCTATGCCCCCAACAGGCAAATCTGTCTTTGTCATGCAGATTGGTTCAGTGGAGCCTTTTTTCATTTGAGTTCATTTGATGTGTGAGGAGGAACATCATCATTTAAGCTTGTTATAGTGCCTTTGCAAGCAATTCATCATATCAAAACCTCATGTATATAACATGTATGCACCAAATCTGGCTCACTCTGCGAGCAATTTCTGCATGACTTGACCCTAATACATTTTCCTGCTTTGTGTCTGGTTGTATAAATAATTCAGGAAACGATTGTGGTGAAGAGAGAGGGGAACGCTTCAGTCAAATAATGAGGATGCTAGACTGGGGCAGGGTTATAACTACAGTTTCTTCATACACAATGATTTTTGTGTCACAATGGACTCCAAAGAGATTGTGAGCATGATGATTGCACCCTCAACAGAAACACCCCCGCCTCCTACTTAACGCACACAGAAACAACAACCTCTCCCGCCATCTGCCATCCCTGACCCTGTCATTCAATGGATAATGCATTTGACTGAACAGCAGCACACTGGGGCGAACGCAGCGGCACCCTCGTGTTCTCGTGTCACCCACGTTGCGTGCAAAGGAGGCAGAGGGAGAGACGGAAGGCGGGGAGGTGGGTGAAAGCTATCCCAGGTGATGAGGTGTAGCGGAGCTCTCCTCTCCTTACAGTCACTGGAAACCAGCTTAAAAACACACATGCGCACGCTGCTATCAATTCCTTTGCGGCCCAATGAGGGAGTGGGAGGAGGTAGAGAAGGAGGTAGAGAAGGAGGGAAGGGATAAAGAGAGAGGGAGGGAAAGGGAGGAGGGAGTGTGTCTGTGTGTGTGTGTGTGTGTGTGTGAGTGAGAGAGAGAAAGAGAGCGACAGCGAGCCAGAGACGGAGAGGGAGAGGGGGGGGGGATGGAAGGAGCTGTATGGGGCTGTGATAGTCTCTCCTCCTGGATGCTGCCTTTTCCCTTCATGGCGTTGTCCCTCCTTTGTACGGTCACCCTGTGTCCCCAGGAGCAGGCACTGGCACACGGACCAGCACTCAGCCACGGAGCCGGGGATGAATCAGCCCCAACAAAGAGCCTTTGAGATGGCAGCGTGTGCTTCTGCCTGGAGGGAGGAACGCATCAGGTTTTCCCAGGCAAGCGGCAGCCTGCAGTGTGCGCTTGCTTGAAAGCCAGCACTCCTCGTCGTTGTATGAGAGAGAGAGAGAGAGGGAGGGCATCTATGTCCATGTGAGTGTATGCGTGTGAATGAGAGTGTATAATAGTGTATGTGAGTGTGTGTGTGCGCACTCCCGCTTCCAATCCTTCCTGAAGGAGAGAGGCTCTCCTCTTCACTAGACGGCAAGGTAAGGGAGAAGCCTTGTTTTTTTTCTCCTCTAACAATGATGTATCCCCTTCAGAGCCTGTTTCCTCTTTCCACAGTGAGGACAGTGGGGTAAAGAGGGGGGGGGGGAGGAAAAGAGGCTTAACGTCATTGATGAAGAGCAGGCTATAGCGTGCCGTCGGTTGGCATCAGCCTTGGTGGAGGAAGAGAAGAAGGAGGTGGAAAGGCTGTGAACGGAGTGCAGTGCAGCCCAGGTGCTGATGTGGAGGGGAAATGGAGAAATAAAGGGAAGACAGAGAGGGTTGCTGGATGTATTCAGTGATGGACTGCATCTCAAAAGAGCCTTCACCTTATGCTCATCCCTCCTCTAAATCCTCACATCCCCTTTCTCCCTACGAGTCGTGCCTCTTCTGTCCTCAACCTCTATTTCAAGTAAAAGGATACAACAATCTCATCAAGATGGATCACACTTGACAAATACAGACTGTGTCATTGCTATGGGCACTGTGGACAGAAGCTTCCTGTTTTTTTTACCATTGTGTATTCTAGCATGTGTGTGTGTGTGAGTGTGAAGGCTGAGTTCTCAGCTGATCTTTCTGGTCCTACCAGTGCATAAGGATTCAAGCTTCAAGCTGTATGTATACTCACAGCCGTAGCAGGATGCTGTGGCAAAGCAGGCCCAGAGGAGACTGATGTGACACATTTTGTTTACAGCATTTCCTTTCATACTGAAATGTAGAAAACCTGTTGTGTGAGAGCTTGCATGGACGTGGGAGAACTGTGACTGACTCTGAATTTGAGACATTAAGAAACAAGGAATCTGCTCTTGTTAAAAACAGGTTGTTAAGTCTTTCTTTTAGTCGCTCTATTAGAAATCCTCAGTGAAAATCAATCTAAGGCTAAGGTGCTTTAAAGAAGTGTATAGATTTTAGTTTTCGTGGGACGCTTTAGCATCCCCTTTGCACTCATTCTTATCGACAGAATTGCACTCATGCACTTGCTTAGGAGTTGCGACTGCAGACATATACTGTACGGGGTCACCACAAAGGACTAAACTGTACTCTCTGTATTTGTGTTTTTAGTAGTGCAGTTCATAAGTCTGACGATGATGTAACTGAGGCTCTGCACTTCTTAAACTACCATGTGTTTGTGTCTCAGGTTACTCATTGATATTCAAGGAGGAGGAGGGAAAGGGTAGAGGAGGTGACAGAGAAGGTCTCTTTGGAGCATGCACACACACGCACATACAGCTGGACATCTGCTTCACTGAGGACGATGTGTACACTCCGAAGTCGTTTAGAAGTTTTTTGGAGGCCGTCTCATGTCGCCCATCTTGCTTTTTCGCTCTCAGTCCAACAGAAAACCAGCAGCACAGACTCTACTGCATGTACCGGGACACTGACTGAACACAACACGCAGGTGTAGGTGGTACATCCTCGTCATGCGCCCTGCTGTGTTAATGGTTGTTTTAAGGAATGCTTGTGTCGTGGTCATGTCAGCCGAAGGAAGGGACAGCGAGCATTAGCAGCTTAGCGTCGCCACCGGCCGCGAGACGTCAAGCACTAAGGATTAAGACAGAGTCCAAATTAGGACAGCATGCCATGATTCCCCCTCTCCGGACTGAAACAGCACCCATGCTGGGTGACAGGGGAGTGCAGCCCAGTAGGTGCAGATTGATGCCACGAAGGAATCGGAGGTTAAATATGGCTGGTGCTTTTTTCCCTGGGAGAGACATGCTGAGGCGTGGGCTAAAAAAATATAAATCAAAGCTTTCATAAGCACACGCGCGTACAGTAAAGCTTGCACAGAGTACTGGCGCATCAATAAATTAGACCCAAGAGAGTAGAGTTGGGCTCGTACCATTGGTCCAGGCTGATCATACGTCTCTATCACCACAGCGTCAAATTGTTCAAAGCACTTGTGAGAGCCAAGAGGATCTTTAATTAAACAGAGTGTTGGTCAGTGTTGCATTTCCGTACTATCCTGCCTAGCCCTTAGCACATTGTTATACAGAATGGAGAAGCATACTTCCTGAGTTAAGAGTTTGTTTTTCTAGTGATGTGTCAGCATCCCATGAAAGCCCCAGGACACTAGAAGTGTTGCTTTTACAATGTCATTATGTTGAGGTGTTTGGATTAGATGGAGATCGTGCATTTACGTCCACACTCTTCGCTGCGGGGGCACAACAAACTAGTTTTCTGGTCCATTTTCTGGTCCGGGAGAATCAATGCCAACATGTCAGGTGACAGAGTGATATACGTGCTCTGTTGATGAAAGTAAGTGTTCTGTCCTCCATTCCCCTTTACTGTGGCTTGTTCAATGCAGACAAAGCTGCTCAAGACGACGGAGAAAAGACATTACATCTTCAAACCGGAGATTGCTGCTATCCACAAAACTGTGCCACTAAATTGGACAACAAAAAAACGTGTGAAGATGTATTTTCACTGCGCCGACACTTTAAATCTAAGTCATCCTAATCCGCGTCTTTATTCTCTTCATTTCTGTCCTCTCGCTTTCTTCTCTATTCCATCTCTTGAGTGTCCAGACGCTCCTTTCCTCCCTCATTCTTTCTCTTCCTGTCAATATTAACACAAGACTAATGTGCACTCCTGCGCAGATGTCTGCCCTTGAAAAACTGACATCCCACGTTGTTGGGCACGGGCATCACATATTTTGCTATACTCTTCCAATCCTGAGGCCTTTTTCTTACTCAGTCAGTGCACAAGACAATGACAGACACACTCTTTGAATGTTTACTCTCTCAGAATGGCAGTGCTCTGAGACTTCAAACCATTTCCGACTTGAACTACTTCATACAGAGGTTTGAGTGAAGGCCATACCCATGACGCATCGCTGCGAGTTATGTGACATTTGAAATACCCCGAGATATGTCACTATCAATGAACTCTCTGTGTGAATATGGGTCATCTCTGCTCAACGACCAATTTCACAAACTGAAATGTAAAGGCAAAATATGCCATTTTTTTCAATCATAATTTGCACACTCTGCACTTTAACCGTGCTTCACTTTTCATAAACTATATACTGAAAATAGTCTATAACTTTCACTTCACATGCCCTCGGCTCGGGCATGCTCTACATCATGTCCTTACCCCTGAGTGGAGCTTTTATCAGAAATACTTCGAGGACAGGGAAAGTTGTGGTTTGACCGCTTTAGAAAAACCTGGCCCACATCTTCACCTGCATCTTCTCTTGGCTGCTGACCCTTTTGAATGGCTCCTTCGATGTCAAGATCCTCGACCAAGAGTCTAAAAGTCATGCTCGTGCGGCTCTGTGGGGCTATACATTGGCACAGCAGAGCAAGCATGCTAACATGCTCCCAATGACAATGCTGACATGCTGATTCTATTCATGTATCATGTTTATTATCGCCATCTCAGAACATTTGCTAATTAGCAGAAAACAAAAAGTGCAGCTGCATGTATTTGGTCATAAGCCTAAGTTTAGGACAGATAGAAAATTTGGACCTGATGAAAAGTCGGGGGGGGGGACGAACCATCAAAAGTTGTGCATTTCATCCTTTGCTGTTTGTGTAGCGAATTCAAGGCAATCCACCCACTAATTGTTGAGACATTTTACTAAAAATAACAAACATGGACCTCACAGTGGTGCTAGAGGAAACGTCAGTGAATCACCAAAGTCGTTGGGATTCATCCTCTGTAGACCTTATGGCAATCCATCCCATAGTTGCTGAGTTATTTCAGACTGGACCAAAGTGGTGAACCGACTAACCAACCGACATTGCCATCTCTAACCGCTAGCAACGGCTAAAAAAAAGAAAAAAGCTAAACTGTGCTCACAGCCATAGCCAGATTTGCACAATGGGCAACTTTACAGAGGCAGCAGATGTGTGTCATCCTCCAACATTCCTTGTATTCCAAGTGCTTTGTCGTGCATGATGTGTTAGACCACTAGCATGAAATATGCATGAAAGCGACATGTTATTCCATGTCATTAAGTGTAGCTCATTACATAACTTGTCGTCTCCTATTGACAATCCTTCCATGTCTGCAGAGGTGACTTCAAAGAGAAAGCAGACATGAACTTAAATCATAAACACTGCTATTGTACTGTCCGGTCACGTCCAGCGCTTGTGTACCTTTTTCATGCCCTCAGATGGCATGTGTGTAAATGCGTGTGTGTATGTACGTGCGTGTGTGTGTGTGTAACAAAGCACAAGGAAAAGGAAGAGATGACCAACCAAGACCCCCTTCCTCCCTCTTGAGAGGCAGTCTCATTACACTCAAAGGGCAGAACGGTCATCATAATGAAGCTGATAGAGAAGCAATCTCTAAGCCCCCCAACACTGCACTGCAGAGTCTAACACAGCACATAAGACCTTGATGCTATCTTCACCACTATGAAATAGATGTAGCCCCCTGTCATTTAGCATAGCCGGATTATGCTTGTACGTGCAACGACAAACACAAAAAGAGGATTACCTGTTCTCCATCGTTTCCCACCCTCATCTCGTTATTTGACATGAATTCCTGTACAAAATAAACACGCGTCTGGTGATAGGGAGGAGGGGTGGTGGGAGGCATGATGTGTCCTAAAATTAGATCAGTGAAGGACTGAACACCATACTAATCCTGCTAGCGCGGTCACCTGCACACTCACTACATTTCTGCATGCATGCCAACTAAAAAAAAAGAAGAAGATACAAGCAGAAATCAGGGCAAATAGAAAAAAAAAGTAATCATTCAACAGAGCTCGGAGCACTAACATCGAGCAAATCCAATACCTCTCTTATCTCTCGACCCCCTCCCACTCATCCACAACACAACCTGCTCGGGGTGATTTGAACATGAGAGGAATGCAAGCATGCCCTCTCCTCTTCTGTCATGTTGTCTGTGGGAAACGTATGGATTGCCTGCTTGCATTTCTGCATGGCATGAAAGGCATGGGCCACTCTGTCAGGTGAAGAAGCGCTGTCAGTTGGGGGGGGGGGGGTTAAGTCTGAGATTCATTTGAGCCTGGTAAAGAGATGTATGGCTGTGATTAAGTGGTGGTTCTGCAGAGAAAACGGGATCTATTCGATTGTTTTACCCAATCTGCATGCTCCATCATCCTTTTCATTTTTTTTTTAAGGGTTTAAGGGTTTGTTTAGTCAGACTTTACAAGCAGACCTCATGTGATTTTCTGAGTGAGATTTTAGTTCTTACCGATTTGTGGATTTTCAGGTCGCGTATTTGGATCTATTTAAGTTTTTTGCTCCAGCACACAGTTGTAGAGATGGAAATACCTAATGTAGCACAATTTCGGAGTGACCTCATCCTCTTTGGCTCTTCATATCTCTGACAGCAGCCGGCTGAGTTTTGCCTCAGCACTTTGATAGATTCAAGACAAGCCACTGAGGCATAGGGTCAAGTCCCTACAGTTTAGAGAGATGTGACCAGAAAGCGTGATTATGCACTGTGCAAGTTCAGCTCTGTGCATACGTACTGTCTGACGAGCTTACAAATCAATAGAATATTGTTACAAAGACAGTCACAAGCTTGGCGGGGTAACAGGGTTCAATAGAAAGCCAGTTGCATGTGATTAAAGCATGTAAATCAATAATTGCGTCAACTTTTAATTAATTTTGCCCAAGCATGAATCAACATGTGTGTTGTGCATGTGTGTGTTTCTGCTTGCCTCTAATATCTCAGTGGTTAGAAAAACGAGAATAAATAATGAATGCTGTGATATGTTCTGTTCTCTGCTGCTTTGAACTGATGAAGCTTGATGAAGCACTATAGCAGCCTTCCTATTTGTGCTATTATCACCCCATTATAGCTGGCAGTGGAGTACTGTAGCAGTTTGCATTTGACTCATGAGTAAATATTGATCGATCTGCTTGTAAAAGGATACATGAGTGCTATGTGTAAATATTTGTTTGGGAAATGCCAACATCTGCACGCTGAACAGCTATCTAAGCAGATAGTCTCGTGTGCAGCGGAAAAAGAACATAGCAGAGATTGCAATCTCCTGTTTTGCAGCTTGTTTTCTCAAGCGTTCGTTATTCAAAAAGCAGCCACAATTGGTGCTTAAAAGCCTTTCTGTGTCTGTAGGAGGGAAACTAAATCCCTGTCTCTCTAATACATCCAGGTCTGACTCTAATCTTGGCCCCGAATCCTATCCCCCCCCTCCTGAGAGCCCTCACAACATAATGTCCCTGTCACATGGAATTAAAGTCCTTCCCAGCGCCACATTATGTACATAGGGAGGCACAGTGATTTACTTATGCAACACTTAGCATATTAGCCCTGTGATGGAATTATCCTCGGATGGGGACACCCCCCTATCCTTACCCCACCTTCCTTTAATGAAGCAGGTTTGGCTGAATGTAACCAGTGGGCCTGACCTCCTTTTACCCTCTGGTGATGAGACGGGGCGAGTGGAGTAGTCACCAATACAGTTGATGCAGATTAGAGCCGCACTGGTCCGAGGGCGGAGGTGGAGAAGGGGGCGGCGGCCAGCGTGATCTTCTGCTGAGCTGCGGACGAGTGCAAAACTCATTTCCTCTACTCCCACCATTTCCCAGTGCATGATGAGAGATTGTATCTGATATTCAAGGGGCACCTTGTAGATTGTGCTGAAATAAACAAGACTAGGAGTCCACAGCCATGCAGTGCTAACATTCTCACAATGATAATGCTAGCATGTTCATGTTAAGCAGGTATAGTGTTTAGTTGAGATATATTTCAGTCGCAACTGACAGACTGACCAAAAGACCAGCATTGACATCCCTAGAGCCACACAGCTAGCATGGCTAGCCGGAACGTCCTCCATACTGAGAGCCACATGAAACAGTATTAATACTAATCATGAGACTTAAATGTGAGTGATTATCTCCCAGTACAGCTGTGCAGCTGAGGAAATTAGATGTAATGTATTTAATTATTTCCCAACACATGAATGAAAAATAATGCTTGACATACACAAAACCAGAGTTAGTGGCTCACCAAACTCATGGCCATCCGTCCAAGGATTAAATGGTTACCCTCCCTGCAATCAAGGGCACACAAGCTACTAATTAGGACAGGATATGAAAGAGGTTTATGAAGGATAGCCTGCCATAGTATTTGTGTATGTGCATGAGCGTGTGTGTGTCTGCGTGTTGTACTCGTCCTGCTAATGCACTGAAAGCCTGTGGGCGCTGGCCAGCTCGGCCGCGTGCTCATCAGTAAAATGGCACAAAGAATGAATAAGCCTTGATTGACCAGATATCCTTCATTACACATGTGCTTACAAATCCATCCACTCTCCTTGGAGCCATTCTCACAGGCACACGTTTGTGACAGCCAACAAGACAGTCCAGGGACATACACAACCCAGACATGGAACAGCTTTTAGATGAACCATTTGAATATTTTCTCCCACGTGGAAAGATCCTCTGCTGTCAGATTGTATTTGAACACACTTGGTCCGAGAGTAGATCATAAGAGAGAGCGTTCATTCCGTGGCAACATCGATTTGGTCACTGGGGCAGAAGAGATTTGCCAAAATTTCAAATGTCAAGATTACAGTTACTTGAACATGTGCTGTCTGTAATATTGAGTGCAGTTTATTAAAGGGTGAATTTTTTTCCCCTACAGGGTCATTTTGAATCAGGCAAGCTGTCGCCCTCGAGGACCTGAGGATGTTCCGCAAGAAGAAAAAGAAGAGGCCTGAGATATCAGCGCCCAAGAACTTTGAGCACCGTGTCCACACCTCATTTGACTGCAAGCGTGGCTGCTTTGTGGGCCTGCCGACGCAATGGCAGAGCCTGATAGAGAACCTGCGCAGACCCAAACCCATGGTGGACCCTTCTAGGATCACAGAGGTGGAGCTGAGGCCAAAGAAGGTACACCACACCTTCCACTCAGCTCTTCATTGCTCTTCTGACCTGACCTTTAACTGATCACTAATAACTAGCACACCATTGAACCAGGCACTCATTAAGCTAAAATCTCAGAGAGACTGATGCATAAAGATATGCTGCCTGTTGTATTGAGGCAGAAGTGACCGGTGCTGCGAAGGAATCCTGATGTCTCAGAAAATGCCACAATCCTCCGATGACAACGTGGAAGGAAGGCATGCTCCCCTCCGCATCTTTTTGCTTTCATATCTATCATGGGGCTGGGCTGATGACCCTGCTGTGTACACTGACAGTACAATGTTGAATACTCAGAGGGGCCATAAGATTTATTACTCCACACAGGCAATTATAACAGTGCATGGTGCCTTCCCACAGATGTCGAACAGAAGGGATGAAAAAGTGCAGGTACAGCAAAGGAAATACCAGTCAGTGATAGAGCCTGCAAATCGAAGGATTTCTGTCCTTCACGTAGCAAACATTCGATTCTGTTTGTCACCCTCCAGAAAATAAATAGACATTTTAATTTAATTGATGCCCTGACGTGATTAATGCTGTTCACAATGAGAACCATCATGTCAGCATCTAGGTCAGATTTGTGGTTTTAGGAGCGTTATCAAGAGGAGTGTGGTGTTACCCACAAGAACTTTATAATGCAAAAAACAAAACATTTGGATGAAAATACAGATTATTGCTCTGAGGAAAAGAGGATGTGAGATTTGAAAAATTATGTTGTTTCAACTACAACATCTTCTAGAATAGGATATCTCACCAGGGCCATTATCACCTGCCATTCTCTCCTCTCAGAGAGGTGCTGCGGTGAGATGTCATCTGACCTCTGCCCCCTGTGCAGATGTAATGGCACCGAACCAGGGAAACAGGAGAGGCTGTTGACTGGCTGTGAACTGAACATGACTCTACCCTGAGAGTGACTGATGAGCTACCACACACTCTCGCATGCAGTTGCTACAATCTCACTACTCTGGCAAAATATCTTAAGTTTGTCTGATCCTTTTCTGTCAGGGCAGGTTTGCCTTCACATGCCTGCTATCTATGCATACCATCTGAAAGGTCATAGCAATGTTCTGAATTTTGCAACATAGGAACAGTTGTAGAAGCTCTGACTTTATAGTGCATCGCCCGATACATCTGCTTGGTATATTTAACAGTGTATTGTCAGAATGGGGAAATGATTTAGTCGTTGTGTCTGAAGAATGACAAAGATGTCAGATTACAGATTCTCAAGTCTAAATTTAACTCGCCTCTGAGCAATGATTATGTCACTCTCATTATTCCTTTCAGTCCAAATTCTTTCTATAATGTGATCATGACATGCAATGTGATAAAAGATAAACGCCTCTCCTCTTTCAGACCATTGTGCGGGGGAGCATGATCGGTCACGGAGACTACATCGCAGCCATGATCAATGATATGAACCGTCTGTCTGTGACCAGTTCTAACTCTTTGAGGAAGAGCAGCCCCTCAGCCAGGAAGAGGGCCCAGTCACTGGGAAGGCTGGGGGAAGTGAACGAGGGAGACACTTACCAGTACGAGGGCCTGACCCAAGATGATGATGAAGACTACGAGGATGCGGGTCAAGACCAGTGGAGGGACAGGGCCAGGAACATCCACAGTGAAACCAACACCCCCTACTTGGGCATGAAAAGGAGCATCACTCTGCATCCAAATGGGATCTTACCAAAGGCCAAGTCTACATATGAAGTCAGCGTCAGCTCTCTGGAAGGACCCTCGCAACCGGTTCCGTCGCAGAACATCCCGGTGCTGAGTCACGGAGCTTATATGAGCGGTGAGGTGGGCAGCCCTCAGGAGAGAGTGATATGGAAGAGAGAGTTCCAGCTTCCCAGGGGAGTGCCACCAAATCAGAGACCTATGGCTTGTTTTTACAGCCCAGCTATGACTGTACAGCAGCCTCATAGCGATCAAGCGACAGTCATCACGGAGTTTCGGCCCAACGTACCGATGTACATGCACCCCCAGAACAGCCCCGGGAGGCCGTTCTCCTCTTATGACCTGAAAGTAAGTCTGACATTACAGCAGTTTCTTTGCACATCTTTGTGGCCAGTAAGTGCACAGATAATACATTATTCATAGAATACACAATTTATGCATATTTTTGCAAACGTTATGCACATCATATTACTAGGACTAGTTTGTGCATGAGCTCTGAATCCATTGAATACTAGTTTTTTTGTCAAGCAATCATTTTCAAGCTGAGGTTGTAGAAACTTTAGTGAGGCAGCATATTGATTGGATTTACACTAAAGGTGATTAAAACTGGGTTTGACTATTTTATTTGATTCTAGAGTTAAAATGTGAAATGTGGGTTTAAAGTGGCAGTGGGGTTATAAAAGTTGAGAGATGGTGTGTTTGGCAAGATCTCAGCGGGACACTCGGGTTCTATAGCACCCTCTTTACATGGGTCATATCAGGTGAAGAGGATGCAGAGTGAGAGGGAAGGACTTGATTTACATTCACTTTTAAAGCAGGTCTTGAACCCCAGGCAGGCGGCCAACTCTCTTTCAGCTCTCTGCCTTAATGTTCTTCACCCTTTTCTCTTTTATCGTTCAGGCAGAGTCGGCAGTGAGGTACCTCTCCGGCTTCCTGCCCACTGGCAACAGCAGTCCTCTTGTCGGCGGCATCAGACCTCAGCGAACTGTGCGCTCCTCGGCTAGCTACACGCTGGGACTGTCTCCTAACATGGGGCTGAGGCCCAATGGGCCTGACCCCTTCCTCAGACACTCTGGATGCCTCAATCCTCCCTACCCCCGGCAAGACAGCCCTTCCCAGCCTCGACCCTCCCCTACAGGCTCACTAGCCACCAGTCCTCCAGGCACATGCTCCCCTGCTTTCAGGCCCCCACAACATCCTTCACCCAGACCACCACCAGACCCACCAAAGGTGACCCATGAACAGTTTAAGGCGGCCCTGCAGATGGTGGTAGACAAGGGTGATCCACGGTCCTACCTGGAAAACTTTGTGAAGATTGGGGAGGGCTCAACTGGGGTAGTGTGTATCGCTACAGAGAAGCACAGCGGCAGGCAGGTGGCGGTGAAGATGATGGACTTGCGGCGGCAGCAGAGGAGAGAGTTGCTCTTTAATGAGGTACAATATTCAAATACGTACAAAGTGATTCCCAAAAACAAACTGCACAAATCTCCAACAAACAATGCATTCAAGGTTACAGCAACACATTTGAGGATTCAGGTTTGCTATTCTTTGTGGTCTAGCATGTAAGGGATAATTTAAGTTTATTTCAACTCAGCGTGGCTCTATGGCTCATGCTTACTTCGCACTCGCCACCTTCGTTGTAAACAAGGACTTGCAAGAACAACATATCTCGAAACAAGCTGTGTGATTCTCCTACAGCTTTTCCATTAAACATGATTTCAGTATTCAACTTTTGAAATGCTCGTCTCCACCTGGAGCATTGATGTTGGCTTTTTCTCCCCCTAAATCTCTACAACACAGATGGCAAGTGCCAGTTAGCATGACCCATTGAGTCATAATAGCCACATTATTGGAAGTGTGTCAGGTTGAAATAAACCAGACTTTTCCATAAATGCTTTGAGGGGTACTCCATTGATTTTACACATTTACACACTTTAGTTTGCCCGTCTACTGCTTAGCTTGTACAGTTGTAAAATGTCTTCTGTGGCTCTGGAGGGAGCTAACGTTTGTGAAAATAACCCCTGATTATGCTATCTGGGATATCTCGGCTTAGGCTCGGAGAAATTGAAAGATGTGGGTGTTTGCCAAACCGAATTAGAGCCTGATCAATACTAAAGAGTAAAAGTCAGGATATTTTTGACCAGCTTTGTCTCCTAACTTTATAAAAGGTCTACACTAACTATGTCTCTAAAGATGTTGGTACTATAGTGAATGTTTTTCTTGTTGCAGGTGGTCATCATGAGGGACTATCAGCACAGAAATGTGGTGGAGATGTTTAAGTCAGCCCTGGTGGAGGAGGAGCTGTGGGTTATCATGGAGTACCTGCAAGGTGGAGCACTGACCAACATTGTGTCTGAAACTAGGTAAAGGCACCAAGAGATCATCTTGGTCCATCTTAAGAAAGCTGCACTGGTGCATTTCTGTTTGGTTGTGATATCATCTTTTGGTAACTAAATCAACCACAAGGGGGTAGTGTGGTATCGACTGCTGAGTGATCAGTGTTGATACTAGCAGCACCAAGACTCAAAAAGATTGTCACTCATCCCTCTCTCTCACCCGATGTCTGCTGCTTTCCTCTTAGGAAAAGTAATAATTCAATGACATAATCGAATACATGCATGTTAAGATGCCATGTGGAAAGTCAATTGTGGTTGAGGATTTGATTCCTTGATGCCGTCACATTTTCCAGTAGTGCATGCATCAAAGAAAAAGGAAAACATATCGACCAGGAGAAGGGAGTAGAATTTTGTCAGGCCGGATTTTCTTTGTGCCGTCAATGTATTTTATGTTATTAACAGATGGCTGGCACGATCTCCATGGGATGACAGCAGGGTTAGATCGCTTGACTTAAAAGGGATGAAAAAATGTCTCTCAAGCAAGATGACATATAAAATGAGCCAACTGTCACAGCCACCGTTTGTCAAAGATAATCAGTATATTGACAGGACAATCAAGAATAAGGAGTATTTTACCTCTGTTTTTCCTGGACACAGTCTGGTGTCAAATTATCTATTTAGACTCATTAAAGTCTCCCTAAATAAAAGAAGAAGACTTACTGCTTAAATTACAGCAGGAAGTATACAGCACTCTGTTAGGTAAATCACACCTTGTGTTTTCAGTGGGCACAGGACCTTGCTTGCCGTTTGAGAATGAGCATGTTTTGTTGGACATTCTGCTGTGTGGGAGTTGTTGTTTTGAACCTTCCCCTCTTTATCGTTGCCCTTAATGCAAGGTGATTCATGGGTTTCAACTTTCTCAGCTGTTGATTTGAACTCTTAATGGGAAAGTGTGAAATGTTAATGTAAAATCTGTTTGTGTGTGCGTTATCCTGCAGGCTGAGTGAAGAGCAGATTGCCACAGTGTGTGAAGCTGTTCTGCAAGCCCTGGCCTATCTGCATTCACAGGGAGTCATCCACAGAGACATCAAGAGCGATTCTATACTACTCACATTAGACGGAAGGGTAAGATATTTTGTTACTCTTTCTTTCTTTTCTGTTTTTCGCTATCTTGATTGTAAGGTCTTTCTCTTGTTCCCCCCAGGTCAAGCTGTCAGACTTTGGCTTCTGTGCTCAGATCAGCAAGGACATCCCTAAAAGGAAATCTTTAGTGGGAACACCCTATTGGATGGCTCCCGAGGTCATCTCCAAATCACCATATGGCACTGAGGTGAGGAGGCCCACATTCAAATGCACTCATGCTGAATAACAACGGTGATCTCTGTCATGTGGCGTAAATGCCAAGAGAGGCAATCTCTGCTGTAAGATCTGTAACATAATTTACATGTGTGATCCTGCACCAGGTGGATGTTTGGTCGATGGGTATCATGGTGGTGGAGATGGTGGATGGAGAGCCCCCGTACTTCAGTGAAACCCCTGTAGCAGCTATGAAGAGATTGAGGGATGAGCTGGCTCCTACTGTGCGAAATGTCAGCCAGGTACAAGAACAGACAGACATACCTGCAAAACTAGTAATATTCCCGTCATCCTCAGCTGTGCTTGTACACTGTACACTGGGTTTAGCGCTAATAAGCAAATGTTAGCATGCTGATATACCAAATTAGGACTGTGGACCTGCTAAACATTATCGTGATACAACATTATCAACAACAATATCTGATATGACGCTCACATTTTCATTGTGAGCATGGTAGCATATCGCTGTACCTAAGCACAGTCTCACAGAGCCAGTAGTTTAATTATTGTAATAAATAACGACCGCAGCAATTCATTGGTGTTGAAGTATATGTACCTATTGCTCTCTGGTCCAGATCTCCCCCGTTCTAAAGGACTTCCTGGACCGTATGCTGACTCGGGACCCCTTTGAGCGGGCCACCGCCACTGACTTGCTGGAGCACCCCTTCCTGCTGCAGAGCGGCTCACCTCAGTGCCTGGTTCCACTGGTGGAGCAGTACCGCAAGCGCATGTCCCGTTGCTGACCCCGTGGGGCTCCCGCTACCCAACACCCACCTTCAGTCTGACCTGAACAGGCGAGGACCAGCACCGGGGTCCAACTCTAGCACCCTAGCCAACGGGAGATCAGCTCCAGGGAAAGTAGACCCAGACAGCATGTTGCTGCCAGAGTGATGGTGGCAGGATGGCAAGTTTGGTTGACAGACACCGCATGGTCTCAGGCATGAGAGAAGCACTTTAGGAGTGAGATAAAGGCAGCATGCAGTTCCTCACCTCTCAACCGAATATTGATTAGCTTACTGTTACATTCAGTGGGATTCAACGCAACACAACATGGTGCATATCAGCTGAGAGCAAAAATCAATATTCCATGTAACTATATGTAATGAACATGCACTACTCTAAAGATCCTTTCTAGTGTTCATAGTGGGCATTATTGCTAGCAGTGTAAAGCTTATGAAGCTGTTAGGCTCCACACCACAGTAGCTCATTGTGACATTATTAAGGAAGAATGAAGTTACCTCTGCACACTCACACTCTCTGTTGTGGAAACATGACAACAACCTGGTCAGTACACTCTACAAACACTGACGGTAGACTATTTGCTTGGCCAAATGGAGGCACACCTGGCCTGATGTGAATGCTTGAATATGTACCAAACTGGGACGTGAAAGACAATTCTCCGTTATTAGCATAATAAATGGGTAGATGAAAGCCCAGCTGCTACTATTGGGCTATTGGAACATCACCAGTACCATATTTCTCTTTTTCATATTTATTCTTTATTTCCAAAAGGTGTCGTGGGTTGTTTGTATGATGTGAATTGCAAATAAGGTTTCATTATTAAGTATGGACTTGAAACATACGCAGATAAATTAATAATGTAAATACAAATACTGAATATTAGGTCATTGTACCTGCTGATCTACTGCAGTAAATTATATGAGATGAATTTAAAATTCTACTTTTCTTTACTGAAATGTGAGTGTACAGTTGTATGTATGTGTGCATGTGTGTGTGTGAGCACATGAGCACATGGATGTGTGTGAGGGGACATCTCAGTGTTTGCTTCTGATACAACCCTCTTTGTATTGTGACGGACTTTTTAAAAATCACAAGACGTGTGTGTTGCTCCTCCAGAAGATGTGTATGACTGTATTTGCATTTGTTTGCCTAGATAAAGCACACAGGCCTGGCATGTGATGCTGCAGGACGTTCACCTGCTGAGAGACACTTTGCACATAGTCTTTGTATTCTGACACGGATACATGTTGACGTGTTTCATGTATTTCTATCTCTGTGGATCATACATGAAAAAGAGAATTACACATTTTAATTTTGTATAAATCAATAAATGATGCATATTGATTCGGAATTCATATTATCCTGCATTTTCCATCACTCACACTCACTCACACACATACATACGCATGCATGAACACTGGTGTTTTCAAGTATTTATTAGGTATTCAGCTTGAATCCTACAGTACACAATCAGTGAATATGTTTAAGCAAAATACATACACTATTTCTTATAAACACATAAGCAATATCAAATACATTTAATTCCAGACAATATAAATCATATATATATACATATGTGAAACAAAAATAATAATTTTCAGTGACTCACAGACTGATGATCTCTTAATTTATAAATTATTTAAAATATAGATTAGCAAAATTGTATGTATGCAATTGAACACTTAGCTTTAAAACCTCTTGATTTTATTGATAAACACTGAAAAAATGAATGAACTGCAACATAAGCAAAAGATTAGTATTTCCTCTGAATTAATAAAACATATCACCAAGCAATCAAACTGTGTTGTCAGAATTTTTGAGCGCTGTAAAAATGTCCCTATTAGCCAGACATTGTGTTATTCTAATCGAGGGCGGACTGAGATGAGCAGCTTTCAAACTCACACTTCACACCACTGATGCTGTCAACGCTTGGCTGGCTGTTGACCTGCTGGTGTGTGTGAGAGAGAGGGAAAGTTTCAGAGCGGGAAATCCGCCCTCGACCGTTTGAGGAGCCAGCCGAACAGTCTATCACCAACCTCATGAACTCTGGTGCGGTAAATCGACGCAGCAGTCTGGTCCCAAGGCCCATGAACCCCGGCGTACGGTTTGGGATCTTCCCGGTCTCCATCTCCTCTCTGGCAAACAGCAATTTGTTGTGTCTGCCGGTCGAGCCAAAGCTTCCCCTCTTCTGCTGCTCTCTTCTGCTTGATGTAGCTATGTCATTAGTCTCTTCTCTCTGTGATTTGACAGTCTCATCGAGTGCTCTCACGGGCTGACTCTTGCCGTTTAAAAGAGGTTTTGGCGCTGAGACCTTTTTGTCAGCATCATTTGTCAGGCCCCGGGTGTTCCCTTGACATTCCATCTTGTCTATCAGGCATCTCTCATCCTGTAGCGATCCTCTCTTTAATTTGCTGGCTGACAGGTTGATGTCGCATACATCACCCTGATAGGACTGCTTTCTGCTGCTCAGAAGGTCCAGGTTAAATGACTTTGCTTTTCCCCAGAGAGGAAAACTTACTGGTGTTTGCTCCTGGAGTCCAGTGTCTCGGCTGACATCTTTCTGGCTTGGCTCAAGCAGAGAGTTCAGTGTTTTAGGTTTTGGCTCTCTAAGCTGGCAGTTCTGCAGTTGTTTGGCAGTGAAGAGATTGCTGTGATCCTCCTCAATCTTGCTTTTCTCTATCTGAGGAGGCAGAGCCCAGCTGTGGCGATGGTTGTCGTCTTGAGACTGGCTCCTGGGGCATCTGAAGCGGTTCCAAAGCCCACGGCTGTCTCCAATCTTCAGCTGTCTCTGAAATACCCCAGGCAGTTGGTCTTCATTGTTACTCAGCTGCTTGGAGAACCTCTCCAGAACATGCCTTGGGAGCCTGTTAGGCAGCCGGCACTCTCCTTCACCGATGGTACCTGAATCAGCAGGTGGATCATCTGTGGCAACACTCCTCCTGCAAGGAAAGTTCAGAATCTGCACACACTGGTTGTGTCCAAAAAATTTGGCCACCTCGATGGCGGAATGACCAGCATTATTGGTTCTGTCCAGCCTCAGTCCCAGTCTTTTGAAAGCCCGGACCAGGAACTCCAGAACCTGGTTGTGCCCAGAAAAGGCAGCATACATCAGAGCGCTGTTACCCCAGGCATCAAAGACTTCTGGGTCAGCATTGAACTGCACTAGAAGCTTGACCATGTCCAGGTAACCCATCTCACAGGCATGGCTCAGGGCAGTCCGACCGTCCTCATCCTGGCAGTTAACATCAGCACCTTTCTCCAGTAGAAGCCGGGTGAACTTGGCCCTGGTACCGGGGTCTTGCAGGCAAACCGCGAACATGAGCGGGGTGCGGTTGTTTTCTGTCTTAGAGTTGATGATCCGTCCGTCCAAAGCGTCCAGGATGAAGCGTGCAAGGTGAACTTTACCACCGTGCATGGCATCAAGGAAGGTCTTGGTGCCAGAGCCCTGGCGTAAATCTTTCGGCCGCATCATTCTTGAACAGCTACTTGCGGAGCTGAGCCAAGACAGAAGGTGACAAATCTGGAGAGAAAGTGTGCAGCAAGTTCTCAGAGATTCTCCGTGTTGACAGTGAGTGCATTTACCTCAGAGTAAGACTCAGAGAGGAGCTGCCAGTGTTTTTATACCTCCCTCTCCACATGCCCTCCCCACGTTGCCTAGGAAACAAATGTCTGAGGACCATTATGCAGTGGCAGCATCCATTCAGCCCGAGCACGCTCTGCCTGGAGAGACATGTATGCTATTTGAACAGAATAATTACTCAAAGAGAAAAAATGGCCTTTGCTTTTCTGTGAGGTCTGAAAGGTTAACTCAGATGCCCCACTTTTGCTTTTCTTTGATGCAAATTAGCTTAATTAACAAATTCCTGCTGCTAAGATTGTAATAATGATAATAATCCAATATAGAAAATGACAGCATTTTAGGAAACCTATGAACAGGGCATTGTGTTGAGTCCCATTTCAAGACAATACTGTTATCAGGACTCTCACGAAAGGTTAGAAGGAAAATTAACATTTTGATTTTTTTTCTTGCCAATATGCCTCTTATTAAATGCAGCATCCATCCTCCACCCTGTGGTTCTGCTTGCATTTTGCTTCAACCACAAATCATAATCCAGTGCAAATTCAAGTTGTTTATTGCATCTTTTGCCAAGGCTTTGTGTGCAAAAAAGGACCCCTTTTGACAGCTGTTTCTCCTCCACAAGAATTTCATTTTAATTGCTAATATAAATCTCAGCAGGGCTAAAACTGTGCCAAACAGTAGAGGTGAGAGAAACATTGCCGGGGTTCAACCTTTCACACTGTTCACCATCCGGCTTCATCAACCTTTATGCAGCACCGAGAGTCATTCAGTCATCTAAACATGGCTGATATTCATCAACAGAACGACACTTCCTCCTGGGTGTCTTACAGTCTATTCTGGGCTATTCTGTACTGACATATCTTTTTCATCATAAAGAAATATCTCAGCCACATCTTTTTATAATAAGGTCATATAATGGCTACTTCACAATAGGCTTAAATTCTTATAATGCCAGAGATGCCACTCTAGATTTAGCTTCACAATGCCTGGATCCACAGCTGTTATGTGCTCAGGATTAATTCTCTGCCTTCAAAGCATATATATATATATATATATACAGTATATATATCCATAGGAAGGAAGTCGTACCTCAATCCAGATAATACAATGGTAAAAATGAATAAATAATAGAAGTAGACCTATGAGATGAATGGAACATAAAGCTCTGTTTGTGATTAAACAAGATTAAGAGTCTACAGCTCTGTTGGCAGCTCTGTGAGGCCGGACTGATGTGAAGTGTCACTTTGAGCTAAAAGCTAACGTCAGACATTAACAATGCTAACATGGTGTCAAGATGGCTTAATGTTTACCATCTTTGCCCATCTTCATTCAGCCTGTTATAGCACGCTAAAGGCACTGAATGCCTGTGCCAAATTTCATGGCAATCCATGTTCATGTCTCAAAAGTGTGAACCTCATGGTGGCGCCAGAGGAAAATTCAGGAAACACTAGAGTCATTAGGATTCATCCTCTTAGGATCATGAATGTTCAAACAAAATATCTTGGCAGTCCATCTAATAGTTGTTGAGATATTTCAGTCGGGACGAAAACGGTCCGACCGACCAACAGACCAACATCGCCATCCTTAGAGCCGCACCATCTTTGTGTGGCTTATAAATCGATTATTATATGTATAGCACTTGTTTACAGTCTACTGTTTTTCTGCAGCAACCCTCTCATTCCTCATCATCCCAAAAGGTATTTACCTGGGTTGGAATATTGTGTGAAAGCTGTCAGAGTAAACTGAACTAAAATTCATGTTCTCGGAATAATCTTGCAGTGATGGACACCTGGTGCATTATACTGCTGGATAATAGAAGGTCATGGTCTATTATTGCCCAGCAATAAAGTTTTATGTATGCTGAGCTATTCAAATGATGCCTAAACGTACAACCACTACCACCGCTATAGCTGTACCTTTTACACAGAGATGGGTCCATGGATGCATATCGATAATGTCATATTCTG